AGTCCTCGTGCGAATTTCAACTGATTTTTTTGATTCAGTTGAAAACTGTCCTCCGAGGTTGAAAAAAAAAACCGAGAATTATGCTCGGGTTGAAAGGCTCGAAGCCTTTCATTTGATCCGCCTTTTTTGAGTCAAACTTTTTTTAATACTGAGATTAAAATTTTCTGTTCATGCTGCATTATTTTGGCAGTTTGTATAACCTTCATTATGATGGAAAGCTCTTTTTTCTGGTAGATCCTGCTTTTCCGAATGCGATCCTTGGCTGCTTCATCGTCGATTAAGTTTTCCTTCTCGGAACAGTGAAGGTTTTCATTCCAAGTTCATCAGTTGTCGAAAAAAGAAAGGCAATCGTTGTTGGATCTTTTTCCAATTTTCAAAAGTAGTTCTCTTTTGGGCTCCAGATTACTAAGATGTCCAGACGACACTTCAAAAACTCCACGTTGATTTTTCCCACTTTGTCGATCCTGAAACGTCCCATTACTTGGCTAAAATTATGTCCTCTTTCTGACGCATGTTGGTAGTCGACTCTTGATACTCAATGATGCCAAATACTTCAGTGACAACTTCAGGTCTCATTGACTCAAAAACTGGCTTCAAAAGTCCCGGTTTCCTTTAATTTGTTGCAGCCGCAAATGAAAAAGTCGCAGGAAAGTTACTCAAAATGAAATAAGATCTCTTAATCAATAACTTTAAAAAAATTTTTCAAAAGCTGTGGGAAAAATTGCTTTTGATTCGATTTTCGACTTCAGAAATTCGAACAAGAACCAAAAAGGGTATAGAAATTAGAGCCCTCGTGCAAATTTCAACTGAGTTTTTTGATTCAGTTGAAAAATGTCTCCGAGGTCGGAAAAACCGAAAAAAATATGCTCGGGTTGAAAGGCTCGAAGCCTTTCGTTTGATTTTTTTGTTGAAAAAAATCGAAAAATTTTGCGAAGTGAACGTTATTTTTCTAGAAGCCATAGAACAATGGGAACGATATCATTCGATAGACTAGACAGGAATCTTTTTTTTATAAGTATCCGTGTTTGGACTCCATGAATTTTCTTTTAAAAAAAGGTCATGAAAATAGAATAATTTGACTTCTCGTGCAAATTTCAATACAAAAAACGTTGGATTTTGTTCGAAATCGTTCAAAAAAAATCGATTATTTCGACGCTGTCGTAGATTTCCATTTCTAGTTCCATTTTTGAAAGGAAAATACATAGAATATGAAGAAAACGCTTTCCATGAAAATTCAAAAAAAAACCAAATTTTCAAGTCCGAACTCGGCTGAATCATTTATTTTAAGATAGTGTGAATAAAACATTTTGGCAAGGGTTTTGGTGTATCCTGTATTCTGACGAAAATCAACGTGGAAACTAATTTGTGAACTGTAAATTTAATTTTTGGAGCTGAAACCTCCATTTTTTCAAGTGATGAAGACGAATTCTAGCCGAATCCCTTTGAATATCCTAATAATTAAAAAAATTATGTTAATCCTTTCTGATTTGAAAGGAAAAATTGATGCGATGATTTTTAAAAAAATCTTGAATATACTAAAAAAATTCTGAAACCTCGGGCAATAAATTGCGCTTTTTCCGATTGGAAAAAAGCCAGCTTAAAGTAACTAAATGTTATTTTAGCTTTCCGAGGGGAATCAAAGTGAAAAAAAAAATGGGAAGACCGAGAAAAAAAATGAGAAGACTCAGAGAAACATCGATGGTTGGAAAAAAAGGAGAAAAATCAAAAATTGAAGGTTGGAAAAAAAGGAGAAAAATCGAAAAAAAGATTTTTCTGAAAAAGCCACTCAAAATCAGTTCAAAATTTGATAAAATGCTCATTTCTAGACCATTAAAACCTTTTTTTCTGTTAATTATTATATTTTTTTACCCCTTGGATTGGAAAAAAATCTTCAAGCTAAAAAAATTTTTTTGGAGGAACCAGCGTTCGATTGTTTCGAAGCGGACCCATTCCACAATTTATTTTTTTAAACTTGAAGTTTAGAATATATCCAAGGAATATAACTGTGAAGAAAATGGTGCATGATAAGGTTCAAGGAAGAATGAAAAAAGGTTGTAGTTTGAACTTGATTTTTCAATGGAGCATATTATCTAGAGAAACTTGGTATTTTTCAAACAATTTGAATTTTAAATGATGAGAAACAACTTGAGAAAGAAAGAAAAACGCAGAATGATCTAGGAACGCGTCGTCTGCGCCTATAGGAAAGGGAGGAGCGTTCTGCGTCCCTATGAAAAACAACTCACGTCCCTGATATCGATTTTTGCCGATCCAGCGTCTCGCAAACGGCGTTGGAACCAGAATAGTTAAGGTCATGGATAGAAAAAGATATTTTAAAAAAAAAGTCATACTCATGTTGCAAAAAGGTACTGTTTCAAGACTTTTTTGCAACCAACATTTTTGAAATTTTGTAAGAAAATGATTTTTTGAAAAATTACGGAAAATAGTTTAATAGTAATGCACCGGAACATTTAAGGTCATGGATAGAAACAAATATTTAAAAGAAGTTATAGTCATGTTGCAAAAAGGTACTGTTTCAAGACTTTTTTGCAATATTTCTGAAATTTTGCAAAAATCCAACAGTGTTGGAGTGCACCGGAACAGTTAAGGCCATGGATAGAATAAAAAAGAAAAAAAAAGTTATAGTCATGTTGCAAAAAGGTACTGTTTCAAGACTTTTTTGCAAGATTTTTGAAATTTCGCAAAAATCCAACGGCGTTGGAATGCACCAGAACAGTTAAGGTCATGGATAGAATAAAATATTTAAAAAAAATTATACTAATGTTGCAAAAAGGTACTGTTTCAAGACTTTTTTTGCAACATTTTTTGAAACTTTGCAAAAATCCAACGGCGTTGGAATGCACCAGAACAGTTAAGGTCATGGATAGAATAAAATATTTAAAAAAATTATACTAATGTTGCAAAAAGGTACTGTTTCAAGACTTTTTTTGCAACATTTTTTTGAAATTTTGTAAGAAAAATGATTTTTTTGAAAAAAATTACGGAAAATAGTTAAAATACTAATTTTTCAGGACTTTTTACAAGTTTTCTGAAAATTTCCATTTTTCTGAATGACTTTGAGGGTTCCCTATAGGGGTTTTAATAAGGGTCCTTACACGGAAAGTCATTTCAATCTGTGACTTGGAACTTCCGAAAAAAATTTGCTCAAAAAATTTCTGAAGGATTATTTGAAGATTCATCAAACATGCCAGAATCTAGTTTTCGAGATAATTTGTTTTAAAGGTCGAAAAGTTAGGCCTAAAAAATTGAAAAATAATATCTCAAAAACTAGAATTTTTCCGCACAAAGCGACTATAAGGGATCTTCATTTAGACCTTCAGAGAGTATTTTAGAAAATTTCAAGGAAATTCCAAGCCCTTGTAAGGACTTTCACAAGTTTTCTGAAAACTTCCATTTTCTGAATAATTTTTGAGGGGTTTTTTATAAGGGTCATTACAGGGGAGGATATAGGGCCATAAGCATTTCATGACCATGAAAGGTTTGAATTTTTCGATTTTAAGCGAAAAAAAAGTTGATAGAATGGGAGCCGAGTGCATGAAAAAAAAGGAATTTTTGTTTTTAGTTGGAATTTCGGGATCAATAACTTTTTTAGATGGTTTTTGAGTGAGAAAGATTTTCTGTGGGGTTCCAAAGAGTTTACGGGCAATTTTTATTGATTAAATTGACTTTGAATAAATAAATTTAACATGTAAACTCGTAGTGAAAAACTTGATTTTCTTACACGGGCAAAGTCCAAAATGCCTCAAAGGCGCCTGTTTCTTGACCTTTCTGAAAAGCACCTTTTAAGAGGGTTAAAAAAAAGAAAGGTGGAAAGAAGGTTGAATAAGAAGGTTCCGATAAAATTTTGACACCTTTTTAGGGACTCAAAAAAAAGCTTTAGGCTCGTCTTTTATAGCCCTTTTTGAGGTCGTTCGAACTTTGCCTGGGTAGTAATGAAATAGTACCATTTCCTACACCTTTCTCACTGTTCATTCCTAAAAAATAGCTTAAAAAGGGCTTAAATAAAATCCCTTATAGGGTGAAACAAAGCCGAGATATATGCTCGGGTTGAAAAGCATTGAACCTTTCTTTATTTTGTTTTTTTTTTTTTCATTTTTGATAGTATCTTTGAAGTAGAGTTGAAATTATGAATAATTTTTATCTTGATGTTGTGATAAGCCCCAGCATTATCTGATCTTTCAAACTTGATTTTTTTATTCTTAAACTTGAAAAAAAGCCGAGATTCTCGTTCAAAAAAACATTATTTAAAGAGGAAATAGTTTTTTTGAAAAGGTGCGTTTGGGGGTTTTTCTGACAGGACAGGTAGAAATTTTTGTTTAAAAAAATGCAATTCTTTTTTTGGTGTGTAATCGAAACTATCATTATCTTAAACGATGAGGTACAGATTTTTTTCAGTTGATTTGAAACAATTAGAATGCTTTCAAAACGTTTTTCGATTTTTTTCGAAAAATTTTTTTGGAATGAGACATGAGGAAGAAGACTAAAATTGAAGGCCTTGTGCAAAATTCGACATGGTTTCAAAAATGATAGAAAACGGCCGAAAAATGCTCCAAGGTGATGAAAAAAAACCGAAGAATATGATCGGGTTGAAAGGCGAAAAAAACCTTTCCTTTTTCTGGTTTTACCCAAACTACCAAAAAATCTTATTATTAGAGTCGATTTTTCAATTTCAAGTATCTATCTATGAAAATGAAGCTTCAGTCTTTGAATTTTATGGTTAAAAATTGAAGTTCTACCGTTTGTTTTTTTGGCTTTGAGCCAGACTTAAATTTTTTTCATTATGAAATACCAAGCGCCCACGCAAATATCTCTGATTCTAACAGATCAACTTAGATAAACGTTAAGAAAATTAAATTAAGGACGATGGAGAATGTTTTTTTAATCAAGAATTCCCAGGATTTCTAAAAGTATTTTGGAATGAGGCTTGAAAAAAAGGCTTCAGGGGATGAAATTGAAGACCATTATTTTTATTAATATTAAGCTTAACTGTAAATGGCTTTGGATAGGTGCCTTTCGTCGTAGAGGACTCGGATTAGTAGTTGTATTTGCGGCTCATGGCATAGGAATAGACTTCCATCTTTCTTCTCCACTATCTCTTGTTTTTTGAATGACAATCTTGTTGTTCTTGTGGGATAATCTGGAAATTTGTTGTTGTAGAAAATCTTTTCCATCTGTTCTTGCTGTCGATGCGAGTTGTATCTTGCCTCCGGATGATCTACAGTGTCTGTTCTGAGTGTCTTGAAGCTTTCCGCTTTGTTTCTTTCGATTGTCGACTTGACGATTTTGTTAATGTCTTCGCTCATGGGTGGTTTTACGAGTTTGCCGATGTCTCCTCCCTATTTTCCAAAATGCTCTGCAAGGGTGTGAACAATCGCAAAGTTCCTGTTGAGTTGGTTTGAGTTCTTCGATGTCTCCTTTATCTTCTCAAAATGGATCCGAGTGTGCTTCTACGTATGCAAGGTTCGAGTTTAGTTGGTCCTGTGTTTTGGGCGTCACCAGTTCTTTCTCTTGGAGCCATTCTCGGAGGGTTTGTGGCGTCGCACAATTGGGGTTCAGTGGGTTTTTGTAGAATCTCGCTTTAGTGATAAACTCGAGCACTTGTTGATTAACGCTTTATTAAGTAAAGACAAAGTAAAAGGTACAATTGAGGTGAAATGGGAATAAAATAAGGGAAGGGGATAATATATAAAGAAAAGGGGGGAAAGTGGTTGCAACGACTCTATTGAGTCGACTTGGGCTTTTATAGGTTTGGATCAAGGCGGGCCAAGTGGTATATTTCGAAGGGATTCGAAATGATTGCGTGGGCGATCCAGGAGTTTGAGCTAGAAGACGCTGGATCTTGATAATCAATCTTGGTGAGTCATGGTTAGGATTGTGAAAGAGTTGATCTCTCTGATCTCTTTCGCAATAACATTGTAACAATTTCGTACGAGATGATGATTCGAATTGTTTCCTCTAATGTATTGAATGAATAAAATGAACATCAAAATATGAAGGGAAAAAGAGGGAGAGAGGAAAGAGAGAGAAAAGAGGGGGAAGGGGGAAATGGAAAGAATTTCTTCCCATTTTACTGTTTATGAGGGCTTTGAGCCATGTTCATTTGAGAAGTTTGCTGAGTCAAAGGGGAAAGAATAGATTTTTCACTAGGCGTTGCTAAGTTGAAGGGACAAATTGAATTGTGATGAAGCGTCCCGTCTGTTAAACAGGTGAGATTGCCGCAAGCTTGGCCGTAAGGGCGTTCTGATGTGGCTTCTTGGTAAAGAATATAACATTTGTGGAGGAGATGGGGGCGTTGACGGAAACAAATAGGGCAAAGACTTTTATGAAAAATTATTTCTAGTTTTTGCTCTCGAGACATGGATTTGCACTGGGTGGGTGGGTGTTGTTGGGTGCAGAACTCGCAACGGGTGAGAAAAGTTTCAACTCTTTTTCTGTCGTCGGTACGACGTCTTTTGCGCATCCGCTCGACTTCTCCCATCATCTCAAGCATGCGAACAGTTTCTGTTCCGACAGGTGTCGCCATTCTAAATTTTAACTGTTTCCCTTTAAGTTTTCTTTTGCTGTTGCTTGTTGCTTTTTTTTCGGTTTGTGTTAAGCTTGTTAAAAAATTTTATTGTATTGACCTATTTCAACAACTTCAGCAAAAACTGAGCAAGTTTAAAATTTTGATTGTGGGATAAAACGGACGCGGCATTCGTCCAGAGTGCACCATTTGCGCGGATGGAAAATAATCACTGGGGAGTCGGCGTAAAGAGATTTAAATCCATATCTTAAAGCAAGATATTGGGCCAAAGGAAGGTTTCCCGAATCGTGGGCAATCAAGTAATTTTTCGGCGTGATGCCTTCAACGCTCAGTCTAGCATGGTCGAGTGTCTGGCCTGTGACGGCGTTGTAGATGTGCTTTATGTTTAATGTTCTGATGAGCTGGTTGCCTCGCGCAGCCTCGGCCGTAGTTGTTGTGATGCCATGTAGGGTCAGCAGCTCCGCGAATGTGAGGTCTATTTCCCCTTTGGCCGGGACGGCCGGGAGGTCTTTTGGCAAGACTTTTGCGGCAGCTTCGTAGCGATACATCTAAAGTATTCCTCTAGACTTTGGGTGATATATTTTGGTATAAATTTTTTTTGTATGTCATAGACCATTTGGTCCATGGCTTCTTGAATTCGTTTCTCTGCTTCTTCGGTCATTTTAGGATTGGATTCCCTTGCGGGTATTAGGTTTATAGTCCCTCAGACTTATGGTTAATAGTTCCCTTCTGATCCGAGTGTGCTTCTACGTATACAAGGTTCGAGTTTAGTTGGTCCTGTGTTTTGGGCGTCACCAGCTTTTTCTCTTGGAGCCATTCTCGGAGGGTTCTTGCGTCTGTCACGTCGTTATTCGAAAGGAACTGTAGCTTTTCGAAGGAGTTGCCCATCTTCCCTGAAGCTGCATTCCCAACGTTTGGTTCATCAACTTCTCCACTTTTTGACGTGTTGGGCTAGGCGGTTATGAGACCTCTTTTCTCCTCTTCTTTTCCAACAAGTGGAGATCTTCGATGAGTTGTTGAAAGCCGTCTTTTTACAGGAGTTGTAGGAGGTTTTCGACTGTTGTCGCTGCTAAATTCGTATCGTCTATTGACCGAAAAATAAGAAATGGTTGGTGATAAAATTCATCTGGCTTTTTGACGATGGTATGAGATGCTTTAAAAGACGATGAGGGTGTTAGGAGATGTTTTTTTGACGACGTTGTTTTTTTTTGGATTTTTTTGGTAATTAACAGTTTTGGGGAGACAGAGGATTTAGCAAGATTTTGGTCTTTTGAGGAAAAATCTATCTGGAAAAATCTACAAGGCGACCGAAATCTAAATATTACATGAAGATATGATTATGTTTAAGAAGGAAAGACAAAATGATAGTGTATTTGAATGTTCATATTGTATTAAAGTATGGTAGTGTTGCTGGAAAGTTGCAATTAAAAGAAGGTTCTAGAGTTGTGGTTCGAAGAAAAATAATAAGTGATGGACGAAAGTAATGGAAGAAAAAAAAACTAATAAAGGATCGTCTGGTAGAAGCATACTATGAGTTCCGGTGGAAGGTAATGCAAAGATAAAAAAAATAAGTAGTTCTGAAAAGTTTTTTAAATAGGGGATATTAAAGATAGGGTAGAAACTAGTTACACTGAATCAGTATCATAAAAAAATTTGAATCAGAAGTTACTAACTAATTTTCTACAAATATCCTTGGAATTTAAAAAAAAATATCGAGTTATAGTCAAAGTTGAGCAACATTTAAAATGTACATGTCCCAAATGGATCGGGTAATTCATAATAAAGTAAAAATTCACAAGAAAGTGTTTTGTGAAATTTAAAGTGTAGAGGAATATACTAAAAAAAGGTGATGGGTTTTTGAAATCTTTGAAATAGATAATGATAAGCCTTAAAAAATGACTCGATCTTTTTTGACGATCAAATAGAATGAATCAAAAGTTTGTTCTTGAAAAGAATAATCTGTGGCCTTGGGGAAATTTCAACCAAACCTGGAGTCACAGAAAATTGGCTGGAAAATCGCTCCAAGGTTACTGAAAAAATTGAAAAAAAAAGCCGAGTTTTGTGCCCGGATTGAAGGTAATATGATACCTTCATCAAATAATTTGTAAAAGGCTTTATGCAATATTTTCGGTGTTGGATTCGGACTAGTAGAATACTGATATTTACTGGCTCATAGCATCATATAGACAATAGTAGCGACCCGTGTTAGTTCAGTCAAACCAGGAAGATAAGGAGAGTGGCGAAGTTTAGAACTTCGTGTGCGCGTTGGAAGCTGACGAATGTGCTGTGTGTAGGCTGAGTTGAGAGTCAGATGTTATTGTGGTCTGATGGGATGCGGGAGTTGTTTTGATCAGTGCTGTCTTCAGATCGACTTGTGAAGTTGATTGTTGTTTTCTTTCTTCAGCTTCTCGTTGACGTTGTACACTCTGACTTCTTGTTGTGACCCTTGGCCCTGTTGTGTTGTGTTGAGTTGCAGTACCAACATCGTTTGGATTTCCAGCACTGTTATGCGACGTGGGCGTGCAGGCAAATCTTGCAAAGGCCCTTTTTGATGATTATCCTTGCTCGTTCCTCGGTGTTGGTGGCCTCGTTGCATGAGTCACTGTAGTGGTAGTGCTGCCAAAAAGTACAAAGCGGACGCGCGCTGTTGTGTGGCTCCTCAATTTTCCTGTTGTTGATTTTTCTGTAGACTGTATGATGTGGAGGAGCTTGTTTGTTTTTGCTTATTTCTCGATTTCTTCGTCGGCTCTGCTCGCCCATACTATGTCCATACTCTGTTCGTCCTGTGCCGCTCTTTTCCTTGGTTTCCTGTCGTCATCCTGTTGTTGCGAAGTCGGGATGGTTTGCATGAGGGATGAACGAGACACGATCTCGTCTCGGTTAAAAATTGACGATCTCGTCTCAAGCTTGAAATTTTAATGGCCTTAAAAATTATTGAGTTATAGTCAAAGTTGAGCAACATTTAAAAGTGTGAAGGAATATACCAAGAAAAAATATAATTATGTTTTTGGAGTCTTTAAAAAAGATAATGGTAAGCCTTAAAAAATGATTCGATCTTTTTTGACCGTCAAATAGAATGAATCAAAAGTTTTTTATAGAAAAGAATAATCTGTGGCCTTGGGGAAATTTCAACCGAATCTGGAGTCACAGAAAATTGGCTGGAAAATCGCTCCAAGGGTACTGAAAAAATTGAAAAAAAAAGCCGAGTGTTGTGCCCGGATTGAAGGTAATATGATACCTTCATCAAATAATTTGTAAAAGGCTTTATGCAATATTTTCGGTGTTGGATTCGGACTAGTAGAATACTGATATTTACTGGCTCATAGCATCATATAGACAATAGTAGCGACCCGTGTTAGTTCAGTCAAACCAGGAAGATAAGGAGAGTGGCGAAGTTTAGAACTTCGTGTGCGCGTTGGAAGCTGACGAATGTGCTGTGTGTAGGCTGAGTTGAGAGTCAGATGTTGTTGTGACCTGATGTGATCGTTCGTGGTTTTGAGCATGTCCAAAATGGAGCTGGTTGTAGTTCTTGTTGACCACTGCGCGGAGTTTGCCGTGTTCATTTGTGAGAGCTTCGATTGTTTTCCTCAGCTTCTTGAGCTCGATTTGGTTGGAACACAGTTGTTTGTTAGCTTCGTTCTGTTGTTCCAGGGTCCTGGAGTTCAAGCGGGCAATTGCTCGTTGTTGGTCCAGGAAATCCTTTCCGGTTTTCTCGACCATTCGCGCTGTTGATACGAGTTGGATTTGGTTGCCCTTCGCGTGGTCCATGGTATCCGTTCTGAGTGATTCGAAGCTTTCTGACGCGATGTTTGTGGAGACTTCTAGTGCGTGACATGATTTTGAGATCTTGATCATTTCGTCTCTCATTAAGCTGAGGTATTGGGTGAGCTTCGGTGGTCGCAGGAGGTCTTCCAGATCTATTTTTGGAGTTGTTCTGTGTGCGCCTTCACGTATGACAGGTCGGCGTTCAGCTGTTCGTGGAGCTTGCACGGCTCCAATTCGTCTGCTTGCAGCCTTACTCGGAGTTTTCTGGCGTCCGTCAATTCGCTGTCTGCCAGAAAGTGCAGCTTTTGTTGTCCATTTGTCCAATGTGCAGCTGTATTCCTAGTGTTTGGGTCATCATTCGGTCCATCAACGCATGCTGTGCCAGGAATTTGTGGCTGATAACGCCTCGCTTCTCTTCTCGGGGTTTGGTCTGCATCCATTCTTCTTTCCTTTTTCTTTTCGAGATCTACTTAGTACAAAAGGATGTGCTAGAAGTTCGATGTTTTCAAAAAAATCTTGAATTTACTAGAAAAATTCTGAAACCTCGGGCAATAATTTGCGCTTTTTCCTATTTAAAAAAGCCAGCTTAAAATAACTAAATGTTGTTTTAGCTTTCCGAGGAGGATTAAAGTGTGAAAAAATGGGAAAACCGAGAACTGAAGGATGGGAGAAAAGGAAAAAAGATGTTTCTGAAAAAGCTCATTCAAAATCAGTTCAAGTTTTGAAAAAGTATGATTTCTTGACCATTCCTGCACCATTTTCCTATTAATTAATTGTGTTTGAAGGAAAAGACGCCTAGAGATAGTGTGTTTAAACGGTTTGAATGGTCTAGTAATATCATTCACAAAATCTTGTCTCGGTTAAAAGTTGAAGATCTCATCTCGTCTCGAGATGCAGAAATGAATCCGATCTCGAGAAACTTCGAGTTAAGAAAAAAAGACTTTTTTGAGCTAAAAATAGAAAATTAGGCGTCATATAGTGACGTTCCGGTCGTAACGTCATTTTTTTTGCACATTTGAGTTTTGATCGTTTTGAAACAAAAATTTGGATTTTTTTTCCTTTCGAATTGTCTCAAATTCGACCGGAGAGACGAATTCGAGATAAATTTTTTTTTGTCTCGATCTCGTCTCGAGATGAAAAAACCCCGTCTCGAGCACATTCCTGGTTTTGCATGAGCCTTGACAAGCTCAGAATACAGCGGATGTTGTAGCTGGAGCCCGGAGACGTGCTCCAGGTGGAAGCCTCGGAATGAGAGCGAACACGGATTTCCAATTGAAAAAAATAAAGGAAATTCTAAAGCCTCGCGCAAAAATTTGCACCCAAAAAGGGCAAGCTTCAAAATAACACTGGTGATGTTATTATCCACTTTTTCGAGGTCAATAAAAAAATGAAGAAATTTATGGAAAAAAATGAAGGAATCGTGAGGAAAAATAATTTTCAAAACCGAGAAAAGTCACCGTAAAGCTAACAGAAAAAAAAGAACGGGAAACTTGGAAAATAGAGAAAAAGTAAGTAAATACTAAAAAAAGATGGGTGTTTGATTTTAATGAACAAAATACGGTAAAAATTTAGTGACTTCGTGCAGCTTTTCAACCTTCATAATAAAAAAATAAATGAAATTCTAAAAGCCTCGCGCAGAAAATTTGCACTCTTTTTGAGAGCAAGTTTCAAAATAACACTGGTGATGTTATTATCCACTTTTCGAGGTCAATAAAAAAAATGAAGAAATCGTGAGGAAAATAATTTTCAAAACCGAGAAAAGTCACCGTAAAGCTAACAGAAAAAAAGAACGGGAAACATGAAAAACAGAAAAAAAAATTGAGAAAAAAGTTAAATCGGGAAGGAACCAGCGTTTGAGGCGTTTCAAATGCGGACCCAATCCGTTTCACTTTTTAAACTCATTTTTGTGACCCGAGGAATCGCATAGAAATTGAACATTAACGGCTTTTTTTTCGTAAAGAATTAAGAAAAAAGAGAAGAAACTGGGAGAAAAGTGAGGAGAATGGCGTCGGAACTGCCGTTCGATGGGTGGGCAACTGTTCGTTACAACGTCCCGCCAGATGCCCTGCTCACTGCTCAATGTGAGGCTCATAGGGGGGAGGTCATCTGGCAAGCTCCTTTTTACACTTTATACGAATGTGCACTCAAAAACGGCCAAAGAACCCTTTCAAAGAAGTTATGGCCACGAAAAGTCAAACTGCTTCGTCATTTCGGTCACGATTCTAGGTGCGTATCATAGATAAGCCTAGGTTATCTGATTAACTTCTTTTCACAAATAAATACGGATATGAAGTCTAGAGCAGCCAAAAAAGCCTTTGAGAGAAGTTGGATCCAAACAAGTTTTGAAAAAAGCAATCCAAATTTTTTTTACAATAAAATTAAGATATGAAGACTAAAACAGCCAAAAAAAGCCTTTGAGAGAAGTTTTCGGTCACTCGGATTTTGAAAAAAAGCAATCTAAAAGTGAAAGGAAGGTTCAGGCTCTTAGAGGAATCTTTCCTATATTTCTTTGAAAAGGAACGTCGTTGGGATTTTCCTGAAAATTGGCTAGAATACTTTTTGATGTACCAGATAAAGATCCTGGAAGCCTCAACCAGTCTCGGAAAATTATCGAAATCCTCTGAAAGAAGTCATTTTCAGACTTTGAGCCCTCACTTTTAAGAACTGAGACGATCTCTGAAGGTACATAAAATCCATCGAAATTGCATCCCGCGCCAGCTTTTAGTTTTCAAAATAATTAATTTCGAAGTTCGAAAAAGTTAGCCTTAAAACTTGTATTTCGCAAATTTGAAAAAAATCATACCTTAAAAAAACTAGGGCGCGCCGTAGCGCAACAGGTTGCGTGCCTGTCTACGGTCCACAGGGTCACAAGTTCGATCCCCCCGACCCAACCAAGGGGTTTAAGAAATGTTGGTAGTGGGAAACCACGGCTTTATAATCCCCAGCCGTAACACACAAGGACGGATATGTCATTGGAGCCAGTCCACTGATATCAGGATAGGACCTCGGCTAATCGACTTGAGGGCGCCGACGCCGCTCAAGCGGTACAAAGGCGTAGGAAGAAGATCATTTTTTAGTAGATACAGTATGCTCAGAGGATTACGGTAGAAAGGCTCGAATGGAAGTTTTACTAATCCTGATCGAAATATTTGGAATCTGATTTGTATTTTGATTTTTATAAGCTCACACTTTTTCATCGAATGTTATGATTTTTGTCATTTTTTAGTAGATACAGTATACTCAAAGGATTACGGTAGGAAGAGTCGAAGATTCCTGGTTGGACTTGGTCGAAAAATATGAAGTTTGATTTGACTTCTGATTTTTGTGAACCTCATACATTATCATCGATTATTAGGATTCTTATCATTTTTTAGTAGATGGGGCGCGCCGTAGCGCAACAGGTTGTGTGCCTGTCTACGGTCCACAGGGTCACAAGTTCGATCCCCGCCCCGACCCAACCAAGGGGTTTAAGAAATGTTGGTAGTGGGAAACCACGACTTCAAAATCCCCAGCCGTCACACACAAGGACGGATATGTCATTGGAGCCAGTCCACTGATATCAGGATAAGACCTCGGCTAATCGACTTGAGGCGCCGAAGCCGCTCAAGCGGTATAAAGGCGTAAGAAGAAGATATCTAAAAAACTAGAATTTTTACGCAGAAAGCGACTATAAGGGATCTCCATCTAGACATTCAGATATTCTTTGAGCAAAATTGTAGTTTTAACTATTTCAAATTCCAAACCTCAAAGCAACCTTCCTCTTAAGAACTTTCTACGGCTGAGTGAAAATCTGTCCTCGAAGCGGACGACCAGCATCCTCAGAAGCATCATAAAAGGTTGTAACTCGGTTTTTTTGTCTCTTTTGAAAGAATAAGATAAATCTACAATTTCAGGGTGCAAATCTTCCGTTCGCCGCCATCTACGACGCAATTCTGCCTTTTTTCATCTTTTTCAATAAACTGTTTTTCATGGCCCCAACTTGTTCATCAATATCAATGATTGCATTTTTCTTTTCTCTTTTCAAATATTCCGGATTCGTGAGGAATTTTTGGAAGAAGATCTTGAGGACAAAACCTATGCGATAGATCTCGACGAGAAAATAACCTGAGGCCAGGTTTGACCTCCGTAGGTCAACTAGGAACTGAGTTATGGGCGATCAAACTTGGAGATCAAAAAATGGAAAGTAGGTCAAAACTGGTATCAATCGATAGAGGAGACCACAAAGATCAATAAAAACTAGGTCTTTGAGTTTCTAACCTTCTAAGAATCGAGTTATGATTTTTCAAAAACTTCAAAAAACCATATCTTTTTTTCTAGACACCCCAGAACTTTCCGACCTTGATTTCCGGGTTTTTGACGTCATTTCCTATCGATTGAAATCAAAATCTCGGAAACTTTGGATTTCGAGAGAATCGAAAAAAGTACAGTCTAACCCCTTCAGTTTTTTTCGAGCTTCTGAGGTCATGGAAGCCGATCCGGACGAAACCTATACCAATCGATAGATCTCGACGAGAAAATAACCTGAGGCCAGGTTTGACCTCCGTAGGTCAACTAGGAACTGAGTTATGGGCGATCAAACTTGGAGATCAAAAAATGGAAAGTAGGTCAAAACTGGTATCAATCGATAGAGGAGATCACGAAGATCAATAAAAACTAGGTCTTTGAGTTTCTAACCTTCTAAGAATCGAGTTATGATTTTTTTCAAAAAAACTTCAAAAACCATATCTTTTTTTCTAGACACCCCAGAACTTTCCGACCTTGATTTCCGGGTTTTTTTGACGTCATTTCCTATCGATTGAAATCAAAAATCTCGGAAACTTTTGGATTTCGAGAGAATCGAAAAAAAGTACAGTCTAACCCCTTCAGTTTTTTTCGAGCTTCTGAGGTCATGGAAGCCGATCCGGACGAAACCTATACCAATCGATAGATCTCGACGAGAAAATAACCTGAGGCCAGGTTTGACCTCCGTAGGTCAACTAGGAACTGAGTTATGGGCGATCAAACTTGGAGATCAAAAAATGGAAAGTAGGTCAAAACTGGTATCAATCGATAGAGGAGATCACGAAGATCAATAAAAACTAGGTCTTTGAGTTTCTAACCTTCTAAGAATCGAGTTATGATTTTTCAAAAACTTCAAAAAACCATATCTTTTTTTCTAGACACCCCAGAACTTTCCGACCTTGATTTCCGGGTTTTTGACGTCATTTCCTATCGATTGAAATCAAAATCTCGGAAACTTTGGATTTCGAGAGAATCGAAAAAAGTACAGTCTAACCCCTTCAGTTTTTTTCGAGCTTCTGAGGTCATGGAAGCCGATCCGGACGAAACCTATACCAATCGATAGATCTCGACGAGAAAATAACCTGAGGCCAGGTTTGACCTCCGTAGGTCAACTAGGAACTGAGTTATGGGCGATCAAACTTGGAGATCAAAAAATGGAAAGTAGGTCAAAACTGGTATCAATCGATAGAGGAGATCACGAAGATCAATAAAAACTAGGTCTTTGAGTTTCTAACCTTCTAAGAATCGAGTTATGATTTTTTTCAAAAAAACTTCAAAAAAACCATATCTTTTTTTCTAGACACCCCAGAACTTTCCGACCTTGATTTCCGGGTTTTTTTGACGTCATTTCCTATCGATTGAAATCAAAAATCTCGGAAACTTTGGATTTCGAGAGAATCGAAAAAAAGTACAGTCTAACCCCTTCAGTTTTTTTCGAGCTTCTGAGGTCATGGAAGCCGATCCGGACGAAACCTATACCAATCGATAGATCTCGACGAGAAAAATAACCTGAGGCCAGGTTTGACCTCCGTAGGTCAACTAGGAACTGAGTTATGGGCGATCAAACTTGGAGATCAAAAAAAATGGAAAGTAGGTCAAAACTGGTATCAATCGATAGAGGAGATCACGAAGATCAATAAAAAAACTAGGTCTTTGAGTTTCTAACCTTCTAAGAATCGAGTTATGATTTTTTTCAAAAAAACTTCAAAAACCATATCTTTTTTTCTAGACACCCCAGAACTTTCCGACCTTGATTTCCGGGTTTTTTTGACGTCATTTCCTATCGATTGAAATCAAAAATCTCGGAAACTTTGGATTTCGAGAGAATCGAAAAAAAGTACAGTCTAACCCCTTCAGTTTTTTTCGAGCTTCTGAGGTCATGGAAGCCGATCCGGACGAAACCTATACCAATCGATAGATCTCGACGAGAAAAATAACCTGAGGCCAGGTTTGACCTCCGTAGGTCAACTAGGAACTGAGTTATGGGCGATCAAACTTGGAGATCAAAAAAATGGAAAGTAGGTCAAAAACTGGTATCAATCGATAGAGGAGATCACGAAGATCAATAAAAAAACTAGGTCTTTGAGTTTCTAACCTTCTAAGAATCGAGTTATGATTTTTTTCAAAAAAACTTCAAAAAAACCATATCTTTTTTTCTAGACACCCCAGAACTTTCCGACCTTGATTTCCGGGTTTTTTTGACGTCATTTCCTATCGATTGAAATCAAAAATCTCGGAAACTTTGGATTTCGAGAGAATCGAAAAAAAGTACAGTCTAACCCCTTCAGTTTTTTTCGAGCTTCTGAGGTCATGGAAGCCGATCCGGACGAAACCTATACCAATCGATAGATCTCGACGAGAAAATAACCTGAGGCCAGGTTTGACCTCCGTAGGTCAACTAGGAACTGAGTTATGGGCGATCAAACTTGGAGATCAAAAAAATGGAAAAGTAGGTCAAAACTGGTATCAATCGATAGAGGAGATCACGAAGATCAATAAAAAAACTAGGTCTTTGAGTTTCTAACCTTCTAAGAATCGAGTTATGATTTTTTTCAAAAAAACTTCAAAAACCATATCTTTTTTTCTAGACACCCCAGAACTTTCCGACCTTGATTTCCGGGTTTTTTTGACGTCATTTCCTATCGATTGAAATCAAAAATCTCGGAAACTTTGGATTTCGAGAGAATCGAAAAAAAGTACAGTCTAACCCCTTCAGTTTTTTTCGAGCTTCTGAGGTCATGGAAGCCGATCCGGACGAAACCTATACCAATCGATAGATCTCGACGAGAAAAATAACCTGAGGCCAGGTTTGACCTCCGTAGGTCAACTAGGAACTGAGTTATGGGCGATCAAACTTGGAGATCAAAAAATGGAAAGTAGGTCAAAACTGGTATCAATCGATAGAGGAGATCACGAAGATCAATAAAAAAACTAGGTCTTTGAGTTTCTAACCTTCTAAGAATCGAGTTATGATTTTTTTCAAAAAAACTTCAAAAACCATATCTTTTTTTCTAGACACCCCAGAACTTTCCGACCTTGATTTCCGGGTTTTTTTGACGTCATTTCCTATCGATTGAAATCAAAAATCTCGGAAAACTTTGGATTTCGAGAGAATCGAAAAAAGTACAGTCTAACCCCTTCAGTTTTTTTCGAGCTTCTGAGGTCATGGAAGCCGATCCGGACGAAACCTATACCAATCGATAGATCTCGACGAGAAAATAACCTGAGGCCAGGTTTGACCTCCGTAGGTCAACTAGGAACTGAGTTATGGGCGATCAAACTTGGAGATCAAAAAATGGAAAGTAGGTCAAAACTGGTATCAATCGATAGAGGAGATCACGAAGATCAATAAAAACTAGGTCTTTGAGTTTCTAACCTTCTAAGAATCGAGTTATGATTTTTTTCAAAAAAACTTCAAAAACCATATCTTTTTTTCTAGACACCCCAGAACTTTCCGACCTTGATTTCCGGGTTTTTTTGACGTCATTTCCTATCGATTGAAATCAAAATCTCGGAAACTTTTGGATTTCGAGAGAATCGAAAAAAGTACAGTCTAACCCCTTCAGTTTTTTTCGAGCTTCTGAGGTCATGGAAGCCGATCCGGACGAAACCTATACCAATCGATAGATCTCGACGAGAAAATAACCTGAGGCCAGGTTTGACCTCCGTAGGTCAACTAGGAACTGAGTTATGGGCGATCAAACTTGGAGATCAAAAAATGGAAAGTAGGTCAAAACTGGTATCAATCGATAGAGGAGATCACGAAGATCAATAAAAACTAGGTCTTTGAGTTTCTAACCTTCTAAGAATCGAGTTATGATTTTTCAAAAACTTCAAAAAACCATATCTTTTTTTCTAGACACCCCAGAACTTTCCGACCTTGATTTCCGGGTTTTTGACGTCATTTCCTATCGATTGAAATCGAAAATCTCGGAAACTTTGGATTTCGAGAGAATCGAAAAAAGTACAGTCTAACCCCTTCAGTTTTTTTCGAGCTTCTGAGGTCATGGAAGCCGATCCGGACGAAACCTATACCAATCGATAGATCTCGACGAGAAAAATAACCTGAGGCCAGGTTTGACCTCCGTAGGTCAACTAGGAACTGAGTTATGGGCGATCAAACTTGGAGATCAAAAAATGGAAAGTAGGTCAAAACTGGTATCAATCGATAGAGGAGATCACGAAGATCAATAAAAAAACTAGGTCTTTGAGTTTCTAACCTTCTAAGAATCGAGTTATGATTTTTTTCAAAAAAACTTCAAAAACCATATCTTTTTTTCTAGACACCCCAGAACTTTCCGACCTTGATTTCCGGGTTTTTTTGACGTCATTTCCTATCGATTGAAAATCAAAAATCTCGGAAAACTTTGGATTTCGAGAGAATCGAAAAAAAGTACAGTCTAACCCCTTCAGTTTTTTTCGAGCTTCTGAGGTCAGGGAAGCCGATCCGGACGAAACCTATACCAATCGATAGATCTCGACGAGAAAAATAACCTGAGGCCAGGTTTGACCTCCGTAGGTCAACTAGGAACTGAGTTATGGGCGATCAAACTTGGAGATCAAAAAATGGAAAGTAGGTCAAAACTGGCATCAATCGATAGAGGAGATCACGAAGATCAATAAAAAAACTAGGTCTTTGAGTTTCTTACCTTTCTAGGAATCGAGTTATGATTTTTTTCAAAATTTTAAAAATGACCAACTTTGAAAAATATTAACTTTTTTTCTTAGCTCCTAGGAAGCTTCTGATCTCGATATTCGATTTGAGGATATGATTCCTTATCTATTGATGTATCATAAGGTAAGGATCCAGAAGCTTCAGGCTTGCCTCAGCTTGCAACTTGACTACTTGATAAGTAACCAGGTGTTGAGATATATCATTGGATTTTTCTTGGGAAGCTCTATCGACTGATTATGATATCTCATGGTTCGAGGGAGAAGCTGAGATGTAAGCTGGAGAAGTCACTGACGTCATCCATGTTGATCAAAACTCTTGAAGTCCCATATCATTGAAAAGCTGATAACGAAACGAATCGATTGATATAATCAGCTCATCTGTAACTTCAAAATGAAGAGAGTTATGAAGCTTGGAAGTCCGAAAAATGTCATTTTTTCAGACCCATTTTTTGCGTAATTTTCGAGCTTTTACCTCAAAACTGTTATGATAACAGTACCATATGGGAGCTTCTTTATCAGTTACGCTAGGAAAAACTTGAAAAAGACCAACATTTTTTTGAGCTTTTCCTTTTTCGCGAGGAAACCACACCGATGAGACCCTCAGACAGGCACCTGACCCGACGCGCGACTTCACACAACTTATTTGATCTGACGCGCAAATTTATTTTTCAAGGCTATTTTTGAAGGCTTATATCTCGGCTCCCAGAGCAGCTACAGCTTATCTAATCATATCAGTCGGTTCGTCTCGATGTCACCTTTCGAATGATTCATGTTATCAGGACATCGAGCTTCATCCAGAAGCTTCAGGTTTCCCTCATAACCTTTTTCAGCGGCTTTTTTCTCAGCCCAACCTCAAATTTTTTGCTAGTTCAAGCTTAAACCAAATGTTCATTAAGGACACGAGGAAATTTTTTGAAACAGTTCAAAACAAGTGTCGGTTAAATGAATGGATAAAAACAAGTGAAAAGAGAGGCAAACAAGGGAATCAAAGGCGATTGGGATTCACATGAGCTTTTTGACGACGAAAAGGTTGGTAACACCGACGCAGATGAGGGCGAAGGTCCAGTAGACGCAGCTGATCTTCAAGATCCTGCGGCTGAAGAATCCGTGGCGGCTCCTGGTCACTTCTTCGAGGATTGTCTTGATGTAGAAGATCAGAAATATCGTGAAGAGAAGCGGGTACGTTTTCGCTGAAATTAGCAGAACTTTTCGCTTCGAAACCATGGAACCATATGAAACTTTTTCTCGCTATTTTGAGGGTTTTACGTTTTACTCTAAAAAGTCTTTACAAACAATATAAATGTTTATTTTTTTCAAAAAATCAAAGATTCATCATCTTTCCATTTCTCGGAGAAGGAGATGATCACAGGGGAACTTAAAAAAAATCAGGAATTCCAAAGTGGTTCCTATAGGGGTTAAGGAGAAAAACAACCCTCATAGGGACCGAAAAAGTGGTCCCTATAGGTGTAAAATCAAGGTGATCCCTAGGAAGGTTCAAAGTATGACCCCTTAGCCCCTAAAGCTTGAGTAATTTCATTCGAAAAACGTTATATTTAGTTTTTCGCATAGAGTTCATAAGAATTATCGACTAGTAAGTCCCCTATAGTGACCACTTTTGCAAACTTTAGTGCTCCTTTCGGGATTGGTAGAGTGGTCCCTAGAGAAGCCCCTATACAAGTTCCAAAAGTTGCCCCTGAAGGGAACACTCTGGAGTTCCTAAATACTTTTTTTTATTGATTATTTTTTTCGAAAAGGTTATAGGGAGTTCTTCTTATTGAAAAAAAAGGAAAAAACTTCTACTGGATAAAAAAAATGATTTTTTTTCACTTTCCGATAAGGAAAGACTTTCAACGGGTCAAATTGTCTCTCAAGCTTCACAAAAATTCACCTGGGTGGTTTTCGATGAGAACTTTGTAGGCTTCGAAGCAATGGGGGAGGCCGCTTGTCAAGTACAGGTGACACAGGAAGTTGAGGATCGTGTAGGCGAACATTCTCATGGAGAAGAATCTCGGACAGGTCGCCGGGTTGACGGATTTCCATCCGAAGAAGACGATGACCATCGTGATGATGGTGTAGGGGACGTTTTTCTCAAGGAAAAGCTCCATTTTTTTGGTTCTGAAAATTGAAAATTAGACGTCGTTCGAGTGGTGATAAGGTGATTTTTAAACTGATTACTGTAACAAAAATAAATTATTCCTTGAGAAAAAGTGAGTAGGGGTGTTTAATCAATATTCCTTTAAAGTTCTGCCTAGGGAACGTTTTTCACCCCCCTGGTCGAACTTTTTGCTGAAACCTTGTTGAAGTGTACTTTAAGACCCCTGATTCCATAAAAAAAGAAGAAAATTTCTCGCAATAGAGTTCGTTTTTCGAGTTAGGACACTTCAAAAAGCTCGAAATAGCGCTTTTTTGTCATACTGGGCAATTTTTTAGTGGCCAGTATAGAGGCTTGCTAAGGACTACTTGGAGGGGGCACTAAAGTGGCCACTAAACCCATCTCTATAGTGGCCACTTCAGTAGTTTTCCATCCAGTATTCCTTCCAGTAACTCTGATAATTTTTAAACAAACAGATTGGACCAGTTATGTCGATCCATTGACCCCTAAAGTGGCCACTCAAATTTTTAGTGGTCTAGTAGTAGCACTCAGACCTCTATAGTGACCACTAATTTTTCATCCCTTAAGTTGCCACTAATTTGACTACTCTAGTGGCCACTAGAACGTCAAAACCCTATAATGGCCACTAAAAACTTCCTTAGTAATTTGCGGACTTTGAAGCTCCATAACTCGGAAAAAAGAACTTCCCTGGCTAGAGCCGTTTTTTGTTTTGGAAACTTTGAAGTTGATTCAAGGGTTATTAAGCTAACTTTTTATTCGATTAATGAGAAAAAAATAACTTTTTCCAGAAAAAAAGAAAAAAAGGAACGGATGCGTCTGATAGTGTAAAAACAAGCAAAAAAATCAAAATGACTCATAGAAACGTGACATTTTCAAAAGAGGTTGAAAAAGCTCACAGTGTGTTCTAATAGTGAGAAGAAGAGAACAAAAGATTTTTCGTACAAAAATTTTCCCAGCTTTGGGGAAAAAATGATAATTTGGTGGGAAGGGAAAGATCGTACCATTCTCCTTTTCAACTCGATTAGATTGTTTCGAAACGTTTTTCGGATACGATTCTATGATTTTTGAAGGGAATTCAGTAAGCAAGATAATATGGAAAAATAATAGAAGAAGATTTTTTTGGCTTTTCTGACGATGTTTATACAGTGCCATGTTTTGGGAAGCAAGTCTAGGCTCTAAAGGAAGCCGAAAAAACCAAGTTTCCAGTACAAAAGAATGTTTACAGTGAAGGTCAGTAGGCCATGTGTTAATTGACCTTTGGGAGCATCTTTTGGCCAGAAAATAATCGGAATAACTTCGTCTCAGGTTTAAGAAACACTACTATTGAAAAATCACTGATTTTGACAATAGAGCTCAAAAAAAAAAGAAAGGATGAAATGAAGAAGGTTGGGATAAAATCTTCAAAATGGTAAGAAAAAAAAAGATTCCCATCCCACTGCAGGTGCAGTTTTTTATGGACATCTGCGTGTAGAAAGGAAAAAAGTGGATTTTTTTTCGTTGGATCATGCTGCATGAAAATCGTGGAAATGAATTTTGATTCGGTGAATATTTATTTGGGAAAAGGAAATTGTTCGATTTTTTGTGAAATTGTTAGATTGCAGGCTTTTTGTCCTTTAATCTTTATGAGGTCGCACTTTCTAAAGACCACAATCAGTCATTTTTAAAAATTCCAGAGTGGTCCCTAAAGGAGTTAGCAAACATAGGATGAGCATGACTGACGACAGCCGAGCCCCCTTCCCCCCCTTAATGCTGGAAGTTTCCAGGTCCCACCGAGACTATCGCATGTATAGGAAAAAAACAACCTCTATGGAGACCGAAAAAAGTGGTCCCTATAGGGATTTAGGGTATCGCCACTCAGCCACTCAAGCTCAAGTGGTCCCTATAGTGGTCTTTCAATTCAATTTTAAAACGCTTATTTATTCAATTTTTCGCTTGGAGTACATGAAAATTATCGACTAGCTTGTCCCCTATAGGGACCACTTTTCCCAGCTTCAGTGTCCCCCATAAATTTTTTAGATTCCAGGCTTTTTGTCCCCTAATCTTTATGAGGTCCCATTGTACGAAGAAAGAAAAAATCTATTTTTAGGAATTCCATAGTTGTCCCTATAGGGGTAAGGAGGAAAAACAGCCCCTATAGGGGTGAAATCAGGATGGCCTCTATAGGGTTTAGGGTTTGACCACTCAGCCCTAAAGCTCAAGTGGTCACTATAGAGGTCTTCAAATTTAATTTGAAAACGCTTATTTATTCAATTTTTTGCATCGAGTTTATTAAAATTATCGACTAGCATTTTCCCTATAGGGACCACTTTTGCAAGCTTTAGTGTCCCCCATAAATTTTTTTAGATTCCAGGCTTTTTTTGTCCTTTAATCTTTATGAGGTCCCATTTTCCGAAGAAAAAAAAAATTCAATTTTTAGAATTTTCATAGTGGTCCCTATAGGGGTTTAGGATGTGACCACTCAGCCCCTAAAGCTCAAGTGGTCCCTATAGTGGTCTTTCAATTTAATTTTAAAACGCTCATTTATTCAATTTTCCGCTTGGAGTACATGAAAATTATCAACTAGCAGGTCCCCTATAGGGGCCACTAACTGAAACCCCTATAGGGACCACTTTTGCAAGCTTCAGTGACCCCTATAGGAGTTCGTAAAGTAGTCTTTAGAAGGAACCCTATAGGAGTCCCAAAGGTTGCCCCTGTAGGGACCACTCTGGAGTTCCTAAATACTTTTCTTTATAGATTTTTTTTTTCGAAAGTACTGAATCAAAAGAAATCATCGGAATTGGTTCTTATTCAAAATTTCGAGAAAAAAAAATTAAGAAAAAATCTTTTTTTGACCTTGCGATAATTACCATGAAGTTTACGTTTCAAGAAAGATATGAATAAATTCGACAAGTCGGATAAAATTGGTAAAAACAAAAATAAACGTAGGGAATAATTGACAAGCTATAAAGTGCGGACGTTTACAAAATGCGTCCGGTTTTCTTTATTTCCATTGAAAATTAATAAAATACGGCCGTTTCTTCTGGTAAATTTTTTTTTCAAAATTTGTAATTTTCCCTGTCTTTCTTTTGAAGAAACGATTCAATAAAGTACTACGGCGAAATTAATAAATATTCATTACGATGAGTTTTTTTAATTGCTTGAATAACTTAGGATTTCAATAGAGAGTTTCAAAAAAACTATTTTATACAGTTCATAATTCTAATAAAGGTCAAAAAAATTGAATATGGGAAAAAATAAATCTTGAAAATTGGTTTAAAAATATACTGTCAAAAATAAAAATTATACTGCGAAAACTATTGAAAAAATTAAAAATTATTTTTTTATTTCAAATGAAAAAAATCAAAAAAACGCCCGTATTTTTATTAATTTGCAATGGAGCACAAAAAAATCGGTCGCACTTTTTTTAAAGCCGGAATATTTTTTTATTTTTATTTTTTTGTTTTGTTTTTTTATTTTTTTACATGATAATTATCTGATTTTTTTAAATGGAATTTATGATAAAAAAATAAAAATTATTTCTAGCCTTATTTTTTTCATGAAAAAAATCAGGTGTTTCAAAAAAATTAAGAGAGTGTTGAAAAATTATGTCGAAAAACGTTAGAAATTGAGAAAAATACTGGAAAAAAATGCCTTAAATTGAATCTGACTCTCAAAAAAATGTCTTATTATTTTTTTAAGGAGCTTAAAAACGAACTTTTTATGACCTGGGGACCTTAAAAAGAGAGGTCAGAAATTAAAAAAAAAAAGTTCAAAAAATGCTCTAAATTGATTATAACTGTTGCAATTTCTTCTTTTTTTCCCTAAAAAACTCAAAAAACGGATTTTTTTTGGCCTGGGGACCTTAAAAAAGGGGTCAGAAATAAAATAAGTTCAAAAAATCTGAGAGAAACTTCATACACAAATACTGATGATTTAGCGAGAAAGTGAGCAAAATCGACGTTTTGCGACTCTCCGAAAACGATTTGCCGTGGGAAAGGTCGCTGATTTGGCGTCCGTTTTTGCTTGACCTATTTTCGATGGCTTGGGAAAATAATAAAAGCTTTTTTTTTACTGTCTTTTTACTGCTCATTCAAACGATAAACGTCATACTTGCAAAAAATATTGAAAGGTCGAGTTTCGAAAAAATTTAAAAATCGCCTTTTTTGGCCTGGAAAAAAAAATGGTTTTACGTCAAAAAAGCTTGAAAATTTTCATGCAACCTTATAAAAATAGGAAATATTGATTATTTCTGATTTTTTTAAGGTTCCGAAACGCTTCGTCGATCAAAAAAATTCCTGACTAAAAAAATATTTTTTTCAAAATTCACTTCGATATATATTTTTTTCGTTTTTTTCCTATTAGAAATGATAGAAATTCTCTTATCAATACTAAAAATTCTCGTTAAAACATTTTTATATTATCCCTTTTCTAGCCAAAAAAAAACCTTGTTTCCAAAAAAATTGGAGTCGTTCATCGATGAAAAATCACGGCGGAAAACAAAAAAGTTTAAAAATCTCCCATCGAAATTCCTAAAAAATTACTTTTAAATGGAAAAAAAAACGCGATAAAACTTGCAAAAATGATATAAACCGAACAGTAGACCCGATCCATCGACCTATTTATTTATAAACGCAACGTTTATCCATTCGGTCATCATTCATTTAATAAAAGGTGAACTTGGAAGAAATTATAGAACTTCACTCGCAAAAAATGGCAAAAATTCAGAAAAAAGATCGGATCTATCGATCTATCGACTAAAAATTGAGAGATTTTTGAACAAAAACCTGCAAAAAAAGTCGAGAAACCAGAAAAAAAGATTGAGATATCAATTTTAAGATTTGAAAACGCGAAGTATTTCTGTAAGTGAAAAATTATAAATTTAAAAAGATTTTTTTGAAGCAATTTTTTTGCGTTTCATAACAAGTTTCGTTCTGTCCGATGAACACAAGAAAAAAATGTTGGTATGAAAAAAAGCAAGGGAACTTTCGAACGGTGACTTTTTCCGATTTTTTTCATATTGCAAGGGAGCTTTCGAATTTTTTTCTTTATACTTTTCGGTTTATAAAACATCTATTATTATATTTTTTTCCTATTTCTTTTGTGTTTAATCATAAATAACTTGCCTACTTTATATAGGAAAATTTGAAACGAAGAGTTTATCGAAAAAAAAAATCGGAAAAAATTTTGTCGGAAAGTTCCCTAGCGATATGAAAAAAATCGGAAATGTTGCCGTTCGAATTTTCGTTGGCATTTTTTTCATACAACCGAAATAAAGAAAAAGTTGGAAAATAAACTTTAGGCGGCAAATAAAAGTTTTGGCTGTGAACAGTCCGGTGTGTGCGTATTTTTCGGCTACAGTAACCCAAATAATAGAAAAAAACATTTTTTGGGGTTTTTGTAACTATTTTTTGGTTTTTTACAATCCAATTCACTATATAGAACGTTTTTATAAATAGTGATCTTCGTGAAATTTCTTAAAGTTAACTTTTTTTCGCCTACTCTCGTTCAGAGTGAAAGTTTACCTCGAAAAAAATTACTGTTTGCGATTTTTTTCAGTTTATAGGAATGATTTGATTGAAATAAACCGACTACGAAGAAATTCACTAAAAATGAAGCCGTTTTTCTGACTCGGGAAGCCAATTTTTCAAACAAATCAATCCATTTCGACTTTAAAAAAAACGTTTAAAACTTAAAAAAATGCTGAATTTCTCTGACCAGTTGGAGTTGGACAGGATCGAAATTCCTGCCTCTTTGACGAAAAATGTCACGTCCAAAAAAAAGGATTGCTCTTTAAAAAAAAACAATTTAATGAAAAATATGAAATCAGGCAGGAAAACGTCCTAGATGGCGGCGAACGGAGAATGTGCGCCCTAAAGTTGTAGAATCATCCGGTCACTAAGAATAACTGACGAGATAAACGCGAGCTCGGTGGCGGTACATTGACTAACTCGCAAAAATGTCGCTTTTTTCTAGGCGCGATCCCGCATTTTTCTCGGCGCGACCTCGCATTTTTCTCGGCGCCATCTCGCATTCATCTTGCATTTCAGAAATTTTCAAATTGCGAGAGCAATGCGAGCTCGCGCCTAGGAAAGTGCGAGCTGGCGCCCAGAAAAATGCGAGATGTTTGCGAGCTCGTCAATCTACCGCCAGTGTCTCGCGTTTATCTCGGCAGTTATTCTTAGTGGTCAATTCAAGCAAAAAAAAAACCGAATTATCGCCAATAATGACACTTCTGAGGATGCTAGTGGGCTGCTTCGAATTTTCGTCCTTTTTCGCGGAGTCCACTTTTTTCACGGTCATCTTCTTCTTGACATTCATTTTCGTAGCGATAAGTATTCCGATTCCGATGAGTAACACAATAAGAATCACGCCGAAGACAGCGATCACCCTCGTTGAGCGGGGAATTCCGTCAGAAGCCATCGCGCCATTCTGGAAAAAAATTTTGGAGAGTCTCAGGGCTCACTTGGAAATCGCCTTAAAAACTTCCCCTAGTCATTGAGTGATCACTAAAAGGATTTCATCGCCCCTTCAGCGTTCACTTGGAAATCGCCTTTTCCGTTCAAGCCAAAATGTTTTCCCAAATTTTTAAAAGGTTCAGAGAGGTCATAAGTGCTATTAAAAGATATCTCAAACTTTCCCGAGTCATTTAGTGATCACTAAAAAGATTTCATCGCCTCTTCAATGCTCACTTGGAATAGGGTGCTACGACAAGAGCGAGTTTTCCGTTTGCGGGGAGTACTGTATGCGGAAATGCGCATTGAGTGTATACACTTTGCGTATTTACCCTTTCGTTGCGTGACGTCACATGTTCGAAACAAAAAACTCGTGAAAAAAAACCCAGAGATGTCCTACCCAGTGACGTCACGAAACGAAAGTGTAAACACGCAAAGTGTATGCACGCAATGCGCATATCCGCATACAGTACCCCTCGCAAATGGAAAACTCGCTCTTGTCCTAGCACCCTACTTCCAAGTGAGCACTGAAGAGGCGATAAAATCGTTTTAGTGATCCATAAATGACTTGGAAAAAGTTAAGAGATCTTTTAATAGCTTTTATGACTTCTCTGAGCCTTTCTAGACACTGGGAAAACTTTTTGGCTTGAACGGAAAAGGCGATTTCTAAGTGAGCATTGAAGAGGCGAGGGAACCTTTCTAAAGATCCTTAAAAGACTCGGAAAAGTTTGAGAGATTTTTTGATACCTCTCATGACCTCTCTGAATCTTTCTAAATACTGGGAAAAAATTTTGGCTCGACCTGAAGAGTCCATTTCCAAGTGAGCACTGAAGAGGCTATGAAACCACTCAAGTGATCACTTAATGACTTGGAAAAAATTAAGAGATCTTTTAATAGCTCTTATGACCTCTCTGAACCTTTCTAAACACTGGAAAACATTTCGGACTGAAGAGTCCATTTCCAAGTGAGCACTGAAGAGGCTATGAAACCACTCAAGTGATCACTTAATGACTCGGAAAAGTTCGGGAGATTTTTTAATAGCTCTTATGACCTCTCTGAAGCTTTCAAAACACTGGGAAAAAAAACCATCATTTTCAAGTGAGCACTTCAGGGACGCTAACACCTCCTAACAAGGAGGGACCTTTTATTTTACGGTTCGGGGGTCCCTAAAAGTTGGCTTGGGTTCTCCTTGATGTACCAAAAAAAAAAAATCCTGTAATTCTCAACATGTAAAGGACACTTCAAGTGCAAAGAAAACCCTGAAAATCCGAAAGTTGCGCAGGTTGAAACTTTCAGGACCATCCCCTGGTACATCAAGGAGTTTTCTGGCCAATTTTCAGGAAATTCCAGCCGCAAAGTAAAATGACCTGCCTTGTAATTTACTCATAACCGTTCAGGAAACTGGCTAACTAAAGTTCAGCTTTAACCAGGGAATGGTCTCGGGACGCAGTGGGACTTCTGAATGAGTTTTTTAGGGTATACCCTCCAAAAATGAGCTCAATCATCGAAAATTTCGACTTTTGGAGGTCCATAACTTTTTCCACAGACGTATTGGGCAAATTTTGAGACCAGATTTGGAATCAGCGTGAAAAACTGCATCTAGTAGACTTGGTCTCATTCAGAAGTCCCACTGCGTCCCGAGACCATGGTAAGTTTTTTTATCTAAAGAAGTTTCGAGCAAATAAAAAAGAGCCTTCCTTTTCCTAAAATCCGATAACTTCCTAAACATATTTTTATGGATTTTATAACAACTTCTCAAAAGTTTCAGAATCCCACCTTCTCCCCCGAGGGTGGAAAAAAGCCTTCGGGGAGCACATCTTCAATCGATTCTGTAGCTATGAATGTGGTTGTCCTTGTCGAAGGACTTGAAGAATGGCTGGTCGAATCCCTGAAAAGAGGAAGATTCGACGTAGCCAAAGTCAACCAACGACGTTGAATCAGTAGTCGTTGTCGCGCGATGAATCGGTTGTTTCGACGTATTCTTTTTTGCGGACGTCGTCGGCGGCTTTGAAGGGGAAGTCGTCCCCAATGTAGTCGTCGGTGGAGGCTTCTGGCGTGTCGTACTTCTTGGAGGAGACGTCGCACGAGTCAGTGTCGACGTCGTCGCCGTCGTCGCCGTCGTTTTCGTCGACGTCGCCGTCGTCGCCTTCGTTTTTGTCGCCGTCGCCGTCGTCGCCGTCGCCGTCGTTTTCGTCGACGTCGTCACCGACTTGCATTCGATAGTGGTTCTATTAGGACTTAGCTTCGCTATACTGAAGGCCGGGCACGCGCTATCCGTCACCTTTTCTGAAATATCAAACCTTGTCGCACAGAGCGAAACAGCGAGATTAGAAATTTCAGAGCGGAGTCGCAGCGCGACCGCGTGATTCTACGTGATTCAAAACTCAAGAATCACGGCGTTTTTTTTCGGTACGACAGTCGAAACGTTCCGTGAATTATGATAGTTATGGTGTAAACACACCGGGACGCATTGTCGCATACTCCAAAAATGTTTTTCAATTTTTAAAGTTTGGAATGGCTTCCGATCATTATAAAATCTTCTCTATTTGAAGAATATGAAATTGAAAAAAATTTGAACATCATATAAAAAAAGTATAGCAGCGATCATAAAAAGGTAAAAAAACTCTAAATTGCGGATAACGAAAGAAAAAAACAGAGAATATTGTTCTGGTAGGTTGCCTCGCGTCCGAAAATCAATAAAAAAATATGAAAAAAACTTCCAAAAAAATTTGAGAAAAGCCCCGTTAAAAAAATTTTTTATACCTTGGAAGTTCCGCTTCAGAAAGTCAACTAATGGATAGAAATCAAAAATTCAAAACCTTTTTCGACTCTTTCCGAATTCGCCTATGGAAGATTCTCCATGAACATCAGATACACGAAAACCACACAGAACTCATAAAAATACTCTCGAATTTCATTTTCTCCGAAAATAATACTGCGAAGATGTTTAATTTTCTGCAGATGTTATTGGAAAGTACTTGAGATTTTCAGTGATTTTTTAAAGACAACTGAAAGGTGCTTAAAAAAAGGAGCAAAGATTTCATTGAGATCTGCCAAAAAAGACCTCTCCAACAAGGCTACAAGTAGTCATTTGAGGGCTTTTTAATTTTTTTTGAAAAAAACGGACCATGAAAACAGTATTTCTGCCCGTCAACAACAATGCACTCCCTTCTGAAAATCGAATAACTCGAGATTTTAATTATTCATAATTACGTGTAGTGGTCTTTAAAGTACTGATCTTTGCCGTCGAAAAAAATTTCGAATAATTCGCATATTTCGTCTGATTTGCAATGAGCGTTCCCACTTGAGCAGGTAAAGGTTCTTGAATTTGTCTGAAATGAGTTGAAAGAATTTTGAAAAGGAAAAAAAGTACTTTAAAAATTCATAGTAAATTCAGAACAACTTTCTAGGATTTTTTTCAAAAAGCACACAAAGTCTTACTAGAGAACGTTTTCTACCCTGAACGATCTCCTGAGTGTAGAACAAGAAAAAATGAGGGGGTGGGGGGGATTAAAAAAAAAGGGGGGTAAAAACGGCTCTGGTTAAACTCCTCCTTGTATTTCAGAACTTTAAAGGCATAGGGGCAGTAAAAAGGGGGGTTAAAAAAAGGGGGAGGTAAAAACGGTCCCTGGTTAAACTCCTCCTTGTACTTCAGAACTTCAAAGAGAAAAAAAATTCGAAAAAAAAATTCTCTCTGCGACCAAGTCAATTTCAAGGCAATAAACCTTCCGTGCAGATGCTGAGAGACTCAGCGAAGCTACCGTAATCTGTTATCGTGTCCGATTTGCTGCATATTTTGTCAGGAGGGCAATCGTGATTGGTCTTGCAAACCTTGTCTTCGCCTTTAAAAAAAAACTCAACGTTTTATTTGAGATTTTTTATCTTTACTTCGCAAACAAACGCCGCTGGGTGCACTCTCGGAATTGGCGTGAAACAGATAGTTTCCATGAAAACAAAACTCATTGGGCGACTTGCAATCGTCATTATTGGCGCATGCAATGAGGCCATATTTATCGTCTTTCCTTGGAAGGTTTGTCATATTGGGTAGAACTGGAAATGCACAAGTTTTAAAATTCAGTTGTCAAAGGTGAATCGGGAAGTCGATACAAATATCTACCGGGTAGCAACTTTTGAAAAAGTCAATCGGCGTATGGTAATCGGTGGTCGTTTGTATGCGACCGGGTACTATCTCTATGCACCTGGGTCGGAGGTCGATGCAAGTAGCTACCGGGTAGCTACCTGACATTCGCAATTGCTCCCGGAAAGTCTGGAATTGCTTCCCGGATCGTTAATTTTTGTTTCAGCTTTATCCAATAAGACCCTGGAAGGCTTGGGAAGGTGTAAAAAACACGGATGGTATATCAACGACCGATGTGCCAGCCAGTGGAAATCGCGAATTTCAGGTACATACCCGGTAGCATCCAGATACCGATCAGGTACTATCCAGGTACCATAGAGATAGTACCCGGTCGCATACAAAAGACTACCGATTACGACACGCCGATTGACTTGAGTTGCTACCCGGTACCTACTTGCATCTACCTCTCGATTCACCAGTGGTGGAAAAGTCACTAACTTTCAAAAATTGATTGAGTTTATGCGATGCCAAAAAGCTGTGAAAAAAGTGGCAGCGCCTTTGGGCTGGAAAAATCGGTCGGTTGGGTCGGTCGATCGATTTGGAAAACTAGGCCACGCCGTTATTTTGCTCCATGGAAAATCGAATTTCAGACTTTTTTCTACCTTTTTATCAGTTTTCTAGGATATGCGATACATTCTCCTCACTTTAAACTAAACTTTTTCTTATTTATCATTGTTTCCCTAGGTAATGTTTTACCTTTTGTTGGAGGTAATTTTGTTTCTTGCCTTTTTTGTGTTTATTTCACACATTATCTCATTTTCCGATTACTTATAATTGTTAATTTCTTTCATTCGGTTATATGAAGTTATTTAGGATCCAAAAAAATTAATGAGAATTTTCAAAAACTTAATCAGTTTATAGTTTTTGAATCGTATTTTACTTGCAAGAAGAATACAAATACATGAAAATAAGAGGAAACCTTCTAAGTAAAATTTAAAAACGGACAAAAAAATTCAGAAAATAGCAAAAAAAATTGAAATTCTAAGTGTTCCATGGAGCAATATTGCGGCGTGGCCTAGTTTTCCAAACTGACCGACTGACCGAACCGACTGACTTTTCCAGCATGCCTGAGCGCTGCCACTTTTTGAGAGAACTCGATTTCGTTGAAATGACAGGTCAGATTTCCTCAGCAATGGTGACTAATGAGTTTTGAACATGTGAGAATTAATTTGGGACATACAATTTCTTGAATATTGTTTATATTAGTGAAAGCGACAAACAGCAAGAGAAGAAAAAAACGTTCGCATTATACTAATTTTAATATAGCCTGTGTACCACGACTTAATTTCACGGAACGACATTCCGCTGTGCCGCAGCGCGCCTTTGCGAACCTTGGTCGCGCTTTTTATTATTAAGGTACTCTACTTTCATGTGTTCCCACAGCAATAACAACACGTGACCTAGATTCAAAAGACGCTTCGCGAACGCACGCAGCGGAACAGCGGAATGTCGTTCGGTGAAATTCCAAGTCGTGACACACAGACTATACTTTATCCGTTTGAAAAAACTCGGTCCCACTTCGAATTACTCAAAGCGTTGAGGCCTTCTATAGTCCGTTTTTCGCGACTTAAAAGCGCGGGACTTCTCTGCGCCGTCTTTGTCTCTCGGTGACCCTCTCATGTTTACCTGACATTTCTCTGACCTCGGCGGTGAGGGAACAGAGAGACGCAGACACGCGAAAATGTCAAGTCGCGGTGAACGGACTATAACCGACTTCCTTTCCATAAAACTGATGGACGCAAAGTGTGCTCGAGCCGCAACGCGACCGCAACGCTTCGAGCCTTTCCAACTGCGGCGTACAAAATTCAGAACTCACAGTTGAAACACGCTTTTAAACTTCTTGCTTTTTCCTTTTTCGAGATATGCTCATCGTAGATTTTGTCGCAATATCCGTCGCAATCCGAATTTTTTATACAATATTTGACTTTGTTTTCTTTCAAGCCGACGGCCCAGTACTGTTCTTTATTCACTTTCTGGTCTTGTTTTTTGACATATTCATACAAAAGGTTCGGGTAGAGAACGGCTGAAAAAAAAAGGACTCTCTTCATAAAAGTTCTATGAAACTCACGGCAAGACCGGTTCACGTCAGCCTGTTCAAAATAGTTGTCGATGCGGCTTGGATCCACATATAAGTTTGACACGTTCTGTGAGTCTACCCATCCAGCTTGAAAACCGGACTTACAATATACTGTTCCTGAAAAACACGTATTCTGTAAAAAAAGACAACCAAAAGGATCTCAAAAATCTCAAGATACCCCCGAGCTCGACTCGAGCTTTCTTTCATTGTCTGAGTTTTTCTTTTTCAAACTGAAAAATCTGGACAACTTTTTCGGAGACCTGACGCTCATACGTCGGCTGGATGCCACCCCAGCCTATTAAAAAAATAATATAAAAAAGCCGCAGTTTGAGGGGGGTAGGCCGAACCCCGGGGTGGGATCCAGCCGACGTATGCTGACGCTTCGTTAGAAAGAATAAAAATTTCGCGGACCACGGAAAAAAAGTTAAATTTTCATCGTATTTTGGCTACAGTAACCTCAAAAGGGGCGGAGCCTGTCAAAACCTGAACTATAAGTTTCGGAGGCTTTTGTAGTTGTTGTGATAAAAGTATGAGCTCAAAAACAATCTTCCTTTAAAAGAATAAAAATTTCACGGATCGGGGGTTTTACCTGTCTAAAAAATCAAAAACTAAAAAAAACGATTTTTCAAAGAGAGTTGGATTTTTTTCGTACAGTAATCCTCAAATGGGGCGGAGCCTGTCAAAACTCTAACTATAAGTTTCAGAGGCTTGTTTAGTTGTTGTGTTATAGCTTATTCCCGGAAAAATTTGGGACGCTAAGGGGGCGTGGCCTGTCTGCGCTCTCCACCAACGAGGTATTTATAACCGCGCAAGGCTTCACCGGGCCTTGACGTGTTATTTAGATGTGTGTAGAACCGACATTGCTCTTGGATCTTTATTAGAGCAACTCAGCACCGCCAGTTGGTATGCGTGCTGAGCGCAAGAGTGACAATAGTAGGCTGGCGTGCCATTGGCACGCCTACATGATAGTACATATGGCATTGAGGTCAGGTCAACTAGCGTCCTGTCATATACTATCTCCTTTCTTATCGTGTCAGGACCCTTTTTTGATGGCTCAAGTCAGCCGTGGATCAGCTATAAAGTATGAGCTCAAAAAAAGCAACATGAATTTTTAGTGCCAAATTCATCGTTCTCGGAGAACGTGTGTTAAACTTTTCCAGAGACGGAATTTTCAAGCAGTTCTTAATTTATTCATGACCGCCACACTCACCGCAGCATTCTTTTTCGCCTCCCGGTTTCTTTACCATGCACATCGTGTCTTTTTCATAGCATTTACATACACCGCGAGTGCACGAGCACGCGCCCGTGCATCCTTTTCTGATGGACTCTGAGAAGTTTCCAATTACTTATTTCATTTATAGCCTGCGTATAGTCAATGTATCCCGACTTGAAAGGGGAGGGAGGCGGGGCAAGGGGCGGACGCGTAGCGTGTGCGTACGCGGTTCTTGGCACGTGTTCAATTCAATTGCCGCCGAATACTTAAAAAGCTCGGCAACCGCTCTTTCTCTGTATTTTCTTCTAATTTTTGATGCACAAATTAACATAATCAATAAAAAAATTAAAAAAAGAAGTGAAAAGAGCGATAAATGAGCTCTCTGAATGCTCGCTGGCGGTTGAACTGAAGTCGTGCCAAGAACCGCGTACGCACACGCTACGCATCCCGCCTCCCTCGCCTTTCAATTTGGGAAACATTGACTATATCACGACTTGGAATTTCACCAAACGACATTCCGCTGTGCCGCTTGCGAACCTTGGTCGCGCTTTTAATTTTTTTTTCTTCTTTTATTAAGGTACTCTACTTTAATGTGCTCCCACAGCAACAGCAATCAATTGAAATCGTGACCTAGATTCGAAAGACGCTTCGCGAACGCACGCAGCGGAACAGCGGAATGTCGTTCCGTGAAGTTTCAAGTCGTGGCACACAGACTATATCAATATATACCTTTGGAATATACTTGGGCCACCTCAAACAGCAGCGAAAGAAGTAGAAGCAGGTGCAGAAATTTTCTTTGCAACATTACAAGAACAGCTATTCTTTATAAAATAGTCAGGGTTCTTCGTGAAATTTCTTTTTCCTTTTACGCCTTTTTCTGAAGTTCAATTCGATCTTTGTATTTTATTGTAATTATATCATTGTAAATTTTATTTGAGTTTGTAAAACAGCCCATTTTTTTTTAATTCTTCAGTTTCCATAAATTGTGAAGTTGCAAAACATAGGTCTACTGAATCATATGAGGAAAAAGGTTTATTTTTTTACCTTGTGTTTTAAAATTTTGATACACGACTTTTTTGCTCTTTACTTTTGAGCAGATCGACGTGCCAAAAAATTTACGAAATTAAAAAAAATCTTCGAACCTATCTCATGAAATTTGAACTTCTGAGGAACCGATTTTGATTTTTTAAGAGTCATTTTTTTGACAGTTCTAAATGAGTTCTTCACAAATTTGATAGTTTACTAATTCCTGACAGAACTCGGAAAATTGAAAATTGGCAGCGCCTTAGGGGAAAGCTTCCAAAATTATCACGATTTCGGAAGCTCACAGACTGACTCAAGTCCATATAGATGGGCAAGTGAAGAACTGCCCGAGAGGAGGGGTTGGTTCCCGAAAAAGTTGGAAAATTAGGAAATTGAATCTTTCAACCTTCAGCTAGCTCTGGCCCCAATAATACAAGTTGCTGAAAAATCCCAAGCGCAAAATAAAATGTCCTCCTTTTTGGATAAAAGCTTTCAGATCTTGGCAGTTTCTCAGTAGAAACTTCAAAATTTGGGATCGTCCAAATAAATGCCAAATTATTAGTCTAATGCTTAGCAGTTCCTATTTTTTGAACAATTTGGGAAAATTTTAATGACCTCTATAGGGTTTTGACGTTTTAGTGGCCACTATAGTAGTCAAATTAGTGGCCACTATAGAGGTCTAAGTGCTACTACTACATCACTAAAAGTTTTAGTGGCCACTTTAGGGGTCAATGGATCAACATAACTGGTCCAATCTGTTTGTTTTGAAATTATCAGGGTTATTGGATGACAAACTATTGAAGTGGCCACTATAGAGGTGGGTGTAGCGGCCACTTCAGTGCCCTCTTCAATTAGTCCTTGGCGAGCCTCTATAGTGGTCCCTAAGAATTTTCCCAGAGCAGCTGAAATTTGCAAAAGAGCTAACTTTTAGACTACTGCTTAGTCGTTCCTACTTTCTAAATGAATACCTAAAATTGGCAACGCCCAAATAAAAAGCTTCTTTTGTCTGGAATTGTGTCTTTTTGAAACGCCATTGTGTATTTCTCTCTTTTTTTGTTATCAATAACCTGGATTATTCTGGTGCATCCAAGCTCCTGTCGCGATTCGCAAGTCAGTAAAACGGCAAAAATCGATATCTGGGACGCAGAACGCTCCTCCCAATCCTATAGACGCAGTGGACGTGTTCGTCGCCTAAATTATTTTGCGTATTTTTTTTGCTTTTTCCTCTTGTTTCGCAGCATTAAATTGCAAAAAAGGTAGTTTCTCAAGATAAAATGCTCCATTGAAAATCAAGTTCAAACTACAACCTTACTACATTTTCCTTGACCTAATCGTGCAGCATTTTCGATATTTTCGAAAAACTTGGATATATTTTCAACTTCAAGATCAAAAATAATTTGTGGAATGGGTCCGCTTCGAATTTATCGAATGCTGGTTCCTCCAAAAAAAATGAGCTTGAAGATTAATTCAAAAATTCAAATCCAATGGGTAAAAAAATATTAATTAACAGGGAAATGGTGCAAGGAAGGTCAAGAAATCATACTTTTTATCAAATTTTGAACTGATTTTGAAAGGAACATTTTCAAAAACCTTTTCTTTTCTGTTACATCTTTTTTTCACATTTTTCGATTTTTCTCACTCTCGAGGAAGGTTCTTTTCCTTCAATCCTTCAAACCTCGGCTTTTTCCCTCGGAAAGCTAAAAATAACATCTTGTTATTTTTGAGCTGGCTTTTTTCTTTAGCGAAAGTAGCGCAAAATATTGCCCTGAGGCGTCAAATTTCTTTTAGTTAGTAATTTTTTGAAAGTTTTTGTGAATAGTGAAAAAGTGGGATTGAAATTCAGGAAATAAAATGAAGTAAGGCTTCGAGCCTTTCAAACCGAGCATAGTTCTCGCCTTTTTTTTTCTACCTCGGGGCGAAATTTCAGTCTTTTCTTTCAGTTTTCTACTAGAAAAGACTGTACAATTTCGCACGAGAATCAAACTTTTGAAGGTATGATTTACTGCTGTATAATATACAGAACTATAACACATCCATTGGAGGTAACAACTTTTGGAAAAAGGCCAAAATTTCATCTGGAAACTTCGTTTGGTTGATTTTAACTGGAGCATACTCTTTTGAACAGAGTTCACAATGAAACAAACATCATAATTTAAAGCCTTACATGGAGGTCCCGGTGTACCCCGGTAGACCTGGACCACCACAGAATTTGCTGCTTTTTATTTCTATTATTCGCATTCCCGTGGTACTACTCTACTCTGATTCCAACGTCGCGACCTCAATCAGATGACAAAGACTGCCACGCCAAGCCTTGCAGATAGTGCGAATCGTACAACCATCACTCGGTATTATGCACCCTTCCCGAAACCATTTTTCCAACTAAGATCCCATTCTCATTCCTCGTATCGTATTTCGCTGATCGCACAAAAAAAATAGGTATACATACAACGAACGACGGAGGGTCGAGAGAAGAATTATCTGCCGCCAAGAGAACTACAAACGTAGACCAGCTCACTAAAAAAACGGCTAAAAATATCACAATAAAATTTCCGAAACACCGAAAAAAATGGTTTCAAGCCCTTTTATGGGATTTATCATTTAAAATATGTAAAAAGAATAAAATTATGATATTTCGCGACGTCGCCAATTCAAACACAAAACCTATAATAAGCAAAAATCCGCAGTATTCAGATCGAAAAAATCCAAAAGAGTCCGGAAAATCTGATAATACTGGAGCTTCTCGCATTTTTTTGAAGATAAAAACTCGGGAATTCGAAATAACAACAGTAAATGAATAATAAATAAATCAATTATTTTTTGAAGAGAAATTTTTTTCAGCAGTTAATGACCCTTTTGTAATAAGGCAAGCTTGTGCATCATAAGAACTGTATATTCCGGTTTATAACCCTGAAAAATCGATATAATTAGGGAAATTTCATCTGAACACAGAAATCTTATGATCAACAGCTTCATCATTCCGTGCATGATGGAGAAGAATTAATATAATCGATTCCTAAAAATAAAAAAATCAAGCTAAGCATTTTTAAAACTCAGTTTTTGATTCGAATTTCACATGTTATAGAAATATTCTTTCAAATGAAATGAATTGAACCAAACTTCGATACGCTAAAATTTCTGCCTACATTCGAAAAATCAAAATCCAACAAAAAAATAAGATAAAAAGAAGGCGTTTCAAAACCTTCAATCCGAGCATAGAACTCGTCTCTAAGCCTCGGAGCGATTTTTTTCAACCTTCTTTCACATTTTTTTGAGAAAAGAATGGCGTTTAAAATTGCACGAGGAATCAAATTTTCAAAGTTAAAAATCCCATTTTTGTCTCTAATTATGATTTTATACACTTTTTGATTGAATGGGTGTAAAAAATGCACAAGAAATCTGATTTTTTTAAATTATGCTATTCCACGACATCGCAGGATGGGATACGAAAGCTTAAATAACTAAAAATATAAATTATTCAGAATAAAAAAAAGAAAAAAGTCCGAAAGATCTGACAATGCGATAGCTTATCACAATGTGTTATAATAAGAAAAGAACGAAAAAATCAAATTTTCCGAGCCAAAAACTTCCCATTTCCGTCTCTAGTTTTCTACTAAAACCTCAATTTGAAAGAGATATTAAAATTTTTCTTCGTATGGAGATTCTCGCCTACTTACAATACGACATAAGGCAAACGTTCATGGAAAAATCCGAATTCGCAAAAAATAATAATTTGAAGTCAATATTTAATTTATATCATGAGAAAAACAGATTTCCGTAGTGAATTTTTCATCAAAATGCCGAAAATAATCCAGGCCAACTGAACGCAAAAATTTCATCAAAATCACCAGAATTAGTCCGATTATTTTTTTACTGAACCTAAAAATGTTGATTGAAAAATTAGAAAAAAATCATGCCAAGCATAAATTTTTGGTTTTTGAAAAATTTTTGAACCAATCTTCTTTTGGGTGCGTCTACTGAAAAAGCATAAATTTACATTTTTTCATCTCAAAAAAACTAATAACATCCATGTCTTCGGTGGAAAACCTTCAAGTCTGAATACAGGGGACTCAGGAGATCGGACAATCCAAAAAAATCACCAATGGAGCAACGCGAGTGAGCTTGACCGACAGTCATAGGGTCGCGAGTTCGGATCCTGCCGAGAATTTTGCCTTTTTTTTTTGTGAGTCCCATTGTGAAATGATGAGAAATTTCTTTTTCAGTGAAAACTTTGTAGAACCAAGAAGTCCTCTTTTTTAAAATCCTTCCCCTTGTTCATTTTTGATGTTTTTTTTTTTCCCCTCTAGTCTAATAACTACACCCTTTGGGCTGGTTTTGAGCTCATTTTTTAAATTTTGAATAAATAGTAGAGAAGATAAGAATCAGGATACTAGCCCTCCCTACCCCCATATTCGAGCCATGCAAAAATATTTCATTTTTCTGAGCAGATTCTGAACCACGGCTCATGCAATTTATATATTACTAGAACTGCTCTCAAAGGCTTCTTTGCCTATTTTAGATCCCATAATTGATTAATTAATATCAGATTACTGACAAGGAAGGTCGTTCTACTTTGCGCTTGGGAACTATCTGAAACTTCACCCGTGCAGTCTAGAGATTCTGAAAGTCTCAACGTACGACCTCCTATTTTCCGAAAATAAAGACTCAAAGATCCCATTTTCCACAAAGGTGAATCGGGAAGTCGATACAAATATCTACCGGGTAGCAACTTTTGAAAAAGTCAATCGGCGTATGGTAATGGGTGGTCGTTTGTATGCGACCGGGTACTATCTCTATGTACCTGGGTCGGAGGTCGATGCAAGTAGCTACCGGGTAGCTACCTGACATTCGCAATTGCTCCCGGAAAGTCTGGAATTGCTTCCCGGATCGTTGTTTTTTGTTTCAGCTTTATCCAATAAGACCCTGAAAGGCTTGGGAAGGTGTAAAAAAACACTGATGGTATAAAAACGACCGATGTACCAGCCAGTGGCAAACTCGCGAATTTCAGGTACATACCCGGTAGCATCCAGATACCGATCAGGTACTACCCAGGTACCATAGAGATAGTACCCGGTCGCATACAAATGACCTCCGATTACCATTCGCCGATTGACTTGAGTTTCTACCCGGTACCTACTTGCATCTACCTCTCGATTCACCAGTGCAGGAACTTTGAGCTGTCCTTTCTCAAAAACTAGGATTTTATACAGGCTAAGACTTTTAGGGCCTTATTCTGGTATAACAAGAAGTGTTCTGACCAAGTTTTGAAAAAAACCCAACCAAAGCTTATTGAGCTCCATTTTGAAACAGATTGAAATGATTTGATTTGATTTGAAATGAATCATTTCTTGAGCCAACTTTTGTCTGTAAGGACTTTTTTGCTGTTTTCAACACCCATTCCTATAAATTGTGCAAAGGAGCCTGTCAAGTGACCCAGCCCCGTTGTTGTAAATAGCCACCGACCCATCGATTGGCATTTTCGACGCCCTTCTCCTCCCTTTCTCCCTCTTTCCACTCCGTTTGTCTCAAATTTGTACAAAAACCGTCTCACAAAAATGAGTTTAAAAAAGTGAAATGGATCGGGTCCGCATTTGAATCGTCTCAAACGCTGGTTCCTTCCCGATTTCCCTTTTTTCTCGAATTTTTCTCAGTTTTTCAAGTTTTTTTCTGTGGCTGTGAACTTAACGGCGCTCTAAGAGCAATTTTTTTTTTGGTTTCTTCATTTTTTGATTTTTCTTTCCAACCTCGAAAAGCGGATAATAACATCTCCAGTGTTATTTTTGAAGCTTGCTCTTTTTGGGCGCAAAACTTTTTGCGCGAGGCTTTTGAATTTCCTTTATTTTTTTATTATGAAAGTGTCAGTTGAAAATTGCACTGAGGCACTAAATTTTATCGTTTTTGTTTATTAAAATCAAACTCCCATCTGTATTTAGTTGCTTTTTTTCTCGATGTGTTTTCCAATTTTCTCCTGTCTTTGTTAGTATTTTGTTTTCTTTGTCAGTTTTCTTCAGTTTGTTTTTCTTTCCGACCTCGAAAAGTGGATAATAACATCTCCAGTGTTATTTTGAAGCTTGCTCTTTTTTGCGCGAGGCTTTTGAATTTCATTTATTTTTATATCATGATACTGTTGTAGGCATACTTGCCTCAGCGTTCTCCTGATCGGGGCCAATAACATAGTCCGCAGAAGAGCCTATAAAAAGCCTCCGGGAGTTCCGGAAAGGGAATAGGTGAGAGCGCAACATACCATGTAGCTGGCTTTCTACATTTAGTCTAGAGGAAAAGGGAACCATATCCCCCCAAGCTAACAATTTTGAATTACGGAATTTTTTACATGTTTCCTGGGCACGTACGAGTTCATTTGAATACCCATGATACTGCCCCTAAATTTTGAAAAAGAATATTTATCCTTAGCAGAATAAGATAATAATAAAGGTGACAGTAGAACTGAATTAACTGAAAACCTCATTATTGTCTTTAATAAAAAACTGGATGCCAATGGGTCTATGAGGAGCCTGTCAAACTATATTTTATCCAACTTGAAAAAATTGTAAAAGTTGGGATAATACTGGAAGCGAAGCACAAAACGGCAAGTGATCAGGAAAAAAAAATTGGGACAAAAATATCTTCAATTTCTTGTTTGGAATAATCAGATAACACTTCTTTCTGCAGGCTGACGAAAAAGTGAAAAAGAAAGGTTTTTTTCGCCTTTCAACCTGACCATAATTGTCAGTTTTCTTCTCACCTTGGAGCGATTTTTTTCAGCCGTAAATTTTTGCACAAGGGCTCTAATTTATGAATTTTTAAAATTAATCGGACTTTTTATGAATATCATGAGGGATTGATAAAAATTGATAAAAAGTGAACATTTTTCATAATTACGAGACAAAAATTTCTACAGGATGTCGAAAAAAATCATGCCTTTACTGTTGAAAAACTTATCGTACTGTTCAAAATTCACAAGATAAATTAGTCTTTTTAGTGAACTTTTCCTTAACGACAAGCATCTGTCAGGTTTTTCTGAACCTTCCAGCCGAGCATATTTCTCGTTTCATTTTCCAATTTTTTTTCTACCTTGGAGCGGTTTTTCAGTTGAAAATTGCACGAGGCACCAATTTCTACCATTTTTTTTCATTTAAATCAAACTCCCATGTCATTTTCAAAAATTATTTCTTCCCATTTCAAGTTCTATACATTAGCATTCTTTTTATATTCTCCATATCCTTTTTACCTTATGAAAAAATTCTCTTACTATAAGCTGGTTGAAGCAGTTATTTGCACTGGTAGAGGAGGATGGGCATCAGCGGCGAGATCCTCGTATCTATCCACATGCACTCGTTATGGAAACGATCTGATCAAGTCGATGACAAAAATGGTTTTGCATCGTGGAAAGAATTTAAAAACTGATCAAAAATTATTTTTGAATTTTTCCATTTTTCTCAAGAAAAGACTTATGTACGTAAGAGCAGAAGACCAAAAATAAAAAAATAAAGAGAAGGCTTCAAAACCTTCAAACCGAGCATAGAACTCGGCTTTTTCTAAACCTCGGAGCGTTTTTTCAACCTTCTTTTACATTTTTGAGAAAGAATGGCGTTTAAAATTGCACGAGGAATCAAATTATAAGAGTCATTTTCGTCTCTAAATATTATTTATAATATTCACTAAAACTTCAAATATTTTGATACACTTTTGATTGAATAGATAGAAAAAATTTCAAAAGTTCTAGAGATCTGTGAGGAGATAAAGAGGGCCGCGGCAGTTTTTATAGACCACTAGAAAAATTGGCGAATCCGAAAGCGGTGAAGCGAGTTCTCAAAGAAAGGACCGGGAGCTGTGCACAAGAATGAATACTGGAAGACCGTGCTAGGTGAGATCACACTGGCGAAGCCTCCCGAGCACGACGCCGTTTGCCACTTTCAATGTCGTGAAAAAGAAAATTGACGCAGCGCCAGTGGATAACCACCAACATTACCCTTCGCAAGCAGCTTACAAAGCGATGGCCAAGTAAGAAGCGCGTGGGATCACTTGGATTGCAGGAGGAACGGCTGGGTTCAAGAACTTAGGAGAAATGTACGATTCTGGCAATTGGAAGGAGCGAGCCGACGAGTTCATGGAAAGCTTGAGACCTGTGAGGGTTCAACTCTATGAGCAAACTTGAAAAGAAGAAAGCTAGTGAATCTCTGATGACTAAAAGACCCAGGGAGCTGGCGAGTAAAGAAGCTTGGGCCGGTGCAACAGCGAATATGAAAACTTTTTTCAAAGCAACATCGTTGGTTCAAAAATTTTTTTAGATTATATCAATTAAAAAAATGAAACGATTTTTTTCTGTGAAGGAGGGATGTAACGGTTCGAAATTGTCCCTTTTATTCCATTCCCATACAAAAATATTGAAATTAAGCAATGGAAAAAATATTTTGAAGCGCTTTTTTTGCTGGAGAACCTTACCAAAAAAGAAAAATAGAATAAAAGAAAGGTTTTTTTTCCGCCTTTCAATCCGAGCACATTTCTCGGCTTTTTTCACCTCGGAGCGATTTTCCAGCCTTTCTTGCTCAATTTTTCAAAGAAAAATGGCAAAAAAGAATGAAAAAGAGCACGAGGATTCAGCTTGTTTCCGCTTATTTTTCTTATTCAGTACTCGACTCTAAGCCTCGGAGCGATTTTTTTCAACCTTCTTTCACATTTTTGAGAAAGAATGGCGTTTTAAAATTGCACGAGGAATCAAAATTTTCAGACTGATTTTCGTCTCTAAATATAATTTAAAATATTCACTGAAACTTCAAAAATTTTGATGGACTTTTTGATTGAATGGGTGTAAAAATGCACAAGAAATTTGATTTTTTAAATTATGATATTTCGCGACATAGCGGGTTGGGACACGAAAGGCTTTAAATAACCGAAAGTCTGAATTATTCAGAATAAAAAAAGAAAAAAAGTATGAAAAGATCTGACAATGACAATGTGTTGAAATAAGAGAAAAAAATCATATTTTTCAGAGCTGAAAACTTCCTCATTTCCGTCTCTAAATATTATTTATAATATTGGAACTTCAAAAATTTTGATACACTTTTTGATTGATGAAAAAAATGCACAGGAAGTTTGATAATTATGATATTTCGCGACACAGCCGGTTGGGATACAAAACCTCGATAAACCGTTGAATTATTTCACACCTAGCAGTAAAATAACTCTTATAACTCAACTCAAGGGAGGGGTGTTCCAGGTATAGTACTTCGAAGTTGAAGAGCCTATCCGAGAAGTTTTGAGTAGGTCTTACTATAAGCTGGTTGAAGCAGTTATTTGCACTGGTAGAGGTGGATGGGCATCAGCGGCGAGATTCTCGTATCTATCCACATGCACTCGTTATGGAAACGATCTGATCAAGTCGATGACAAAAGGTTTTGCATCGTGGAAAGAATTAAAAACGCTGATCAACATCAGAAATTATTTTGAATTTTCCATTTTTTCCAAGAAAGACTTATGTACGTAAGAGCAGAAGACCGAAAAAATAAAAATAAAAAGAAGGCTTCAAAACCTTCAAACCGAGCATAGAACTCGACTTTTTTTCTAAACCTCGGAGCGAATTTTCAACCTTCTTTCACATTTTTGAGAAAGAATGGCGTTTAAAATTGCACGAGGAATCAAATTTTCAGACTGATTTTCGTCTCTAAATATTATTTATAATATTCACTGAAACTTCAAACATTTTGATGGACTTTTGATTAAATGGGTGTAAAAAATGCACAAGAAATCTGATTTTTTTAAACTATGATATTTCGCGACATAGCGGGTTGGGACCAGGCTTGTGCGAGGGCCGGCCCGTCGCCCTCCCGGCCCCCGACCATTTCGTAAGCCCGGCCCGGCCTTAGCGGGCCTCAAGAAAAAAATGGCCAGCCCGGCCCGAATCGCGCAATTTTTTTCTAGTCGGATATCAAGTTTTTACGACAAAAATTACGTTTTTGCTCATTTTTTCTCTTAAAGTTTAACAAAAACTATGATTTCAGAAGTAAAAGTCACATTTCGGTGAAAATTTTTTGAATGAAATTTTAAATTGTTTTTTGAAGCCCGGCCCGGCCCGAGCCCACGCGGGCTTTTTCTTGAAAATGAGGCCCAAAGCCCGGCCCGGCCCAGGCCGCCCGGCCTGTCGCACACGCTTGGTCTGGACACATAACCTTAAATAACCGAAAGTCTGAATTTTTCAGAATAAAAAGGGAAGAAAAGTCCGAAAGATCTGACAATGCGGGAGCTTATCACAATGTGTCTCGGCTCTGGACGCGATTCGATACTGTTCGATGGAGGAGTGTCCAGCACAGACAGAAGAAATTTCGACTATCTGGTGAGTGGAGACGATTCTTGTGTCATCGGGGATTTGGACTTCATCCACGACTATGCTGGATTTCCTGAAGGAAGTAGGAAAACCTCGGAAAGACATGACACCAGATGAAGGCTCACCGATTTCTATGACATAAGAACGGTACAACAACCATGAAAAAGTCGAGTTCTGGGAAGGAGATGTAAGATTCGTTCGATAAATGCCTGTGAGACCAACCGCCGAGATACTTGGAAAGGCAGCTCTAATGACTAAGAGACATTAAAACACCCGAAACTAATTTATTATTAAAAAATAACGAGGAGCTAAGACTGAAAAGAAGGAGAACAATCAAAAATAAAACGATATTGAAGGTCAAAATAGTCGAAAAAAATTTTAAAATTGCACGAGGAATCAGATTTTCAGAGTTAGAAATTTCTCATTTTGTCTCTAATTATGATTTTATAATATTCACTGACTGAAAATTCAAACATTTTGATGAACTTTTATTTGAATAGATAGAAAAAATTCCGAAAGTTCTAGAGATGTGTGAGGAGATAAAGAAGACCACAGGTAGCGGCAGTTTTTATAGACCACTGGTATCGAGAAACAGCACTTACTTGCCGCTGAGATATATCGGATGTTGGTCTCAAGAATTCGGGGAGGGAAAGAAATTGCTCTGGCGAATTCGAAAGGCTGATTTGGTTCCTGCCAGGTTCGTCTCGCCTAAAGGAATTGGAGGTCCTTGGAGGGTTTATTGATTTGTTGAACCGCTCCTAGGATCACGCGATGAACACGGTCACCAACATGGGTCCTAGCGGTCATCCGTTGTTCAACTATGGAGAGATGTTTGCAAAAGTGTGGCTCCTAGGTTCAGCATTTGTCGCAGACGATATCGCGGATTGGGATACCAAGGTTTCGCCTCAGGAGAATTGATCACCTATGTCATGAACACGGTCACGAACATGGCCTTCAACCTCTCAAACACGTCAGTGACCTTCTCTGGCTTCTGGACAAGAAAGAACCGAACAAAACTAACGCAAAAGCGAGAAAGAAGACGCGACGATACATTCTAGGAAGCCACCAACATTGTCAAAGACGTCAAAGGAGAAAGAAAATCGACACATTACTCGCCCAGAAGATACTGTTCGCTTTCCTCACAAAAACGTTGCCGATAACTAACTCCACCAAGAAAACCACAGTTGCCTCCACCTCCAATACGCCGCATAACTTATAGAGACTGAGAGATTTTTTTCCGAGAAGTTAAAACACCCTGAAACTAATTTATTATCAAAAATAACAAGAAGCCAAGACTGGAAAGAAGGAAAAAGAGGTAAAAATAAAACGATATAAAAGGTCAAAAAGTCGAAAAATTTTTATTATTGAAGATCCTCCAAGCAAAACTAAAAATAAAATGAAAAGTTCACAACTTTTTCAAAACGAGCACATTTCTCGGCGCACAGCAAAAACTTACATTCTTTTTCGTTTTTGATAAAGTATAAATTTGGCACGAGGAGCACTAAAAATTCAAAGAATGCTATCCATTATTTTTATAAATATTTTCTATAACATATGAAAAACTTATAAGATTATATACATGAATACTTCACCCAATTTTCTAAATTTTAAAAAAATATTGATTTTTTTAATGAAAAATGATACCTTTCAAGCTTTGCGAATTCCGTTGATGGGATTTTTCAAACGTCCTTCTGAGGGTTGGAAGCATTTTTCTTCTGTAAAAAAATGAAAAATAAAAATACAAAACAAAGATAATTCCCTCACGTTTAAAATATAACTTTCAGCCGCTCAACTTTAAGGAAATCCAAAAAATGCAGAAATTTATAGGAATATTATGAATCCCTACGATTTTCAATCAATAGAAGAGGCGTATGTATCAAAATAAAAAAATATAATGAATTTCAAAACAGCTAAAATTTACTGAAAGGCCTCAACCGTTCAACCCGACCACATTTGTCGGTTTTTCTTTCAATTCAAAGCAATTTTTCACTTTTTCTACTTAGTTCTTCTGAAAAGAAACACCTAGAAACAATTTGGAAACAGAAACGTAATGAGCAATTAGTGTAATCGAAAGTAAACGAAAATAAAAAGAAAAGGCGATTTTCAAGCGTAAAATTTGAGAGAAGTGTGCAGTGGCGCGCGTTTGTTTTATTCTCGTCTTTTTTTTTTTTCATCAAAAATGCTCAATTTTTTTGAACTTTTTATCTTCGTAAATTCGTTAAAACCTTCGTTTCGAAGTTCTCAAAAATGCAAAGAAAACGAAAAAGAAAGGCTGAATAAAGTTAATTCGATTTGAAATAAAAGTTTTTTTTCATCTTTATAACATTTTTTTCTGTTATCAAAACTTCGTGCATTCTCCATCAAAAAAACCTTTCAATGTATATAATGAAAAAGAAAATTATTCCTTGAAAGAAATAAAATGAAGAAAGGCTTTGAGCCTTTTCAAACCGAGCACAGCTCTCGGCTTTTTCTTACTCGGCGCGAACTTTCAGTCTTTTTTACAGTAGAAAACTTAAGTTCTGTATAAATTTGCACGAGAAATCAAACTTTTGACGTAGTTAAAATAACATTTTGAAAATTAGAGACAGTAGTTCAACTACGTTTCTTTAATCTTACTCAAGTTGGTGTATTTATCACATCGGAATACACGGCTAACACATTGGTGCATCGACCAAAAGACCAGGGTCGATCAACCACCATTGCGACGATCACTCATTTCGAGATCGCACTGCCGTCATTCGGACGTTAAATCGAGACGTCTTGTTGACGAAATAACTAACATCAAAAGACCTCACAATCGCGAGAGGAGACTCGACAACACACTTCAGGAAGCCACCGAAAATCTCAAAGAAGTCAGAAAAAATAGCCAAGACCTTTGAAATACTCCAAGAAGTGCCGAACTCCATTACGGAGGGAAAGACGAAAGGGCTCTCTTTGCAGTTTGCGAGCAGCGTGGCTCAGGAGAAGTGATCACCTATGCTATGAACACGGTCACCAAGATTATTTTGAGAAGAGCTTCTGCTGGCATTCCGATGAACGAATTGAGTCGCTGGCTGAACGAGGTCCTGGAGAACATGGCAGTGGCAACGAAAACGACTAAAAAAGCATGTTTCCACCAGCTGTACCACGATCAGGAAGCACACAGACCGCTATGCTGAAATCAGAAAGCTCTGTACCATCTGCATTAATTCCACAACCGGTGCAACCATTTGTACAAATTATTTGGGAGATCGCATGGGCGACTACGTGCTAAAATTTTGTGCAAACGTCCCCAACAAAACCCCTCGATATACGAAACATGGTGGAGGTTCCTGCATGGGCGCCTTCTCTGGAAGTGGCATCGGACCGCTTCATCGCGTGAACGGCATCATGGACAAGCACGTCTACAAAGACATTCTCCAGAACCAGATGTTGACACACTTGAGAGCCATGGGTCGTGGGAGTGTTTATCAACAGGATAACGATCCCAACACACTTCACTGTTCGTCAAGGCGAGAAAATTGACAAGTAATTCGTATAATTTTGAAACTCAGGATTGGTTCAAGAGCCGTCGGGTCAATGTCATGGGGTGGCCAAGTCAATCTCCGGACCTGAACCCGATCGAACATCTCTGGGAAGAGTTGGAGCGACGTTGTGCCAACAAAAGAGCCAAGAATTGCAACGAGAAGTTTGCTCAACTGCTGTCTGAATGAAATCAGATCCCCATGTCTACCATCGACATTTTGCTCACTTCTATGCTGTCATCAAAGCCAAAAAGCTGTGCCCCATTTGCATAAAGCTTCACTAACTATTTCGATACAACCATTTGTACAAATTGTTTGGGAAATGGCGTGGTCCCCTACGCGCTAAAATTTTGTGCAAGTGTTCCCAACGAAACCCCTCGATATAAATCTTCAAAAAAATACTAACGTTTCCTCCATATTAATTTTTATTATCAACATTTTATATTACTTGTATTTAATACACGTTACTATAAAAATATAAAAATTTTAACCGAGCATAAAACTCAATTTAATCTCACTCAGGAGCTGCTACTGAAAAAGTTAAGAAAACTCGATTTTTCCCCAACTTACAACTATTCCTTTTTAAAAATCAAAGTTTATTTTTAAAAAACCAACCTTCTTTTTTTCGGTTCAGTAAACCGAGAAGCTCGAAAAACCCCAAACGGAGCAGCGCTAATGTGTTTGATCGACAGTCGGGGGTCCCGAGTTCAATCCCTGTCTAGAATTTCTGGCGTTTTTCCATTTAAGCTAGTCATTGACCCTTCTATGTCAAAGAAAAGCATTGCCAATCAATCGAAACAAATTTTTTTTTTTTTATGAAACTCTATTTTGAAACGTTGTTTTCAATGCAACATTCAAGAGGGCGTTTTTGGCGGTGGCCCCGCTTATATTTTTCCCGTAAAGTGTAGTGTATCGTGTGCATACACGGCGGCGCTCTGGCACACAATTCAGTATTTTTTTCACATTCTGTTGGCTTTTTTGAATATCGCGGAATTCCTTTCAACACGTCATTTATTTGAAACAAAAAAAAACAGAAAAATCCCTTTTTAAATGAGAAATAGATTCGTCTCGGGACCCATTGAATGCGCCGTTTTTCCCATGACGTCACCTGGGAACGGCGGAGATTTCGACCACGCCTCCCTCAATTTTTTTGATTTTTGCATTTTTCCTCTAACAAAAAAACGCCGTGAAGAAAAGTGACTGAAAAAAATGGTACAAGATTAAAAAGAATAAGAAATCCGACATGTATGGTCGGTTCAAAAGGCCATGAATGCCTTTTCATTTTTAATTTTTGGTTTTTCTAAGAATTAAAAGAATAAAGCCTTTATCGCTCCAAAAAATGTTTGGAAAAACCATTTTGAAAGGAAATTGATACTACTAAACTAAATCAACTACGCTGAGCTCAAATATCACAACGAGAAAGTTCAAATGTTAATTTATTTCCAAATGGTTACTTGAAAAGTCCGGGTTACTAGTTTTTTTCGTTCTTCAGGGGTGAGGTCTTCACTAAAAACTATTTTTGGCTAAGTATTTTTGATGTCAAGTTAATATTTTTTACTTTGAAAAATCGCGTTGGACACTTTTAAAACCTTTATCATTAAAAAAATTTTCATTTTCTCAAAAAAATTGGCTTTTTTGGCTTTGCTGTAAAGTTGAAATGTTTTTAATTAACGAATTTTAGGTAAAATGGAGTTTTTAAAAATTATTTAAAATTTAAAGAATATTTTATTCATTCAAAAATCAGATTCTCGGAATACTTATCCATTTTTCAGCTGATAGAATTGCTCGAGGCTTGAAAAAGAAACCGAAAAAAATATGTTCGCATTGGAAGGCTCAAGAGAACCGTTCCTTAAATTTTAAGAGCTTTTTCCAAAATCTTTCAATTAAAACTGCGAATAGGTCGAAACACCCTTCTCCAAAAATTGAATTCCAAGAAAAATATAATATCAATCACTTTTTCTAGGAGCTTTTTTTCAAAACTTTACTATTCTGAAGGTAAAATGTCTCATTAAGGAAAAATAATAAATTAATTGCAAGTGTAGAAAAGTTTGAGAACCTTTTTCTGGTTTCTCTGGTACATAATCAGAAATTTTTCTTTTATTTTTCAGAATAAATCTTTTTCAAAGGGACTGAATATTACTTTTTTCGGCTTGTCGAAATTAAATTCTCGGGTTTATTTTTGCTCCTTTTTAAAGCAGCAAAAAAATTGCTCCGAGGCTAGGAAAAATATAAAACCGAGGTATATGCTCGGGTTGAAAGGTCGGAAACACCTTTCTTTCAGAAAATTTTTGACGCGCGCAAAAAAATCAACGTTTCCCTTAACAAAAAAAGCTTTTATCCATGAAAAAGCATTCTGCTCTGAGATGAAAATTTGACAAAAAAACAGCGCGGATTTTATGCTCGAATTAATAAGTATTGGATTATTTAAAAAAATTAAAATCAAAAAGCAAACAAAAATCAAAGCCTCGCGCAATACAAAGATTGCACTCTTTTCTCTCAAAAAGAGCCAGCTTCAAATAAAAAATTATTTTCAGCTTGTCGAGGTAAAAATTGAGAAAAATCGTAAAAGTAAACCAAGAAACACATTTCCATGCGAAGAAGGCTTCCAGAGAAAAAAAGGACGTTCAAAGTAAACCAATGAAAAAGTTGGGAAAAAAATCGAGAAAAAAGTGGATTAGGACCCTCCAAAGGACATTCCATAGAAGTCCATATCCCTTCTTAAGCTCTTTTTTTGTGACCCAATTATTCATCTTTTCAAAGGCTTTGAACAATAAAAACTGCATGAGAATGAAATGGAGAATCGGAAAAGTGAGCAAAAGGATGGAACAGAGGGAAAGACTGGGGAGAACGGCGCCCCAGTGGCCGAAAACTGATCGATGAATGGCCAGTTGTTCGTTTCATGCTCCGTTGTACCCTCCCAACTGATAAATTGCCTTTGTTTGTGTAAAAAGTGGGGCTCAAGCCGAAGATAACGTTAAAAATGGCACTATACGAAGAGAGAAGTTGGTTTGAAAGGAATTAATGATGAATCTTGCAATTTTTCGACGGTGAAAAAATTTGGAACAAAGTCATTTTGAAGAAAAACAAACGTTTCGATTTCTTTTCGAGGTTGAAATTTCTCTAGAAAAATTGCCAAAAGTCAATAGAAAGCCGAGTTCTAAGCTCGGGTTGGAGGTTCCATAAAACCTTCATTTTTTGACTAAACTTGATTTAATATTCAAAAATAAGATCCCTGATTCAAACAAAAAGGCCGTTCTTGAAGGAAAAACTACCATGAAAAATCGATTTTTTTAATTGTATTTTTTTATTGAACCCTGCCACGCCGCACATCCCCAATTATTTAGAACTGTTTTTTTGAATAAACAGGACAAGAAAAAAACTGCAAAAATATATTCAGTATCGAAAAAAAAATTTTTAAATTGGAATTTGAAAAAAATTTTTGGGAAAATTCGAGGCCTCGTGAACATTTTTACTTCGAAAAAGTGTTTGAAACGAAAAATTCTGTTGAAAAATCGCAAAAGTTTTAAAAAAATTTATAAAAAGACCTCCTAGACAAAACCTAGAATAAAGTGATCAATAGAAGAATTCATTGCATTTACTGATCAAAAAAATTAAGAATTGAAGGCCTCGGGAAAAATTTCGACTTTTTCAAGCCATTCCTCTTGGAAAAACTCAAGAAAAATTGCTGAAAAATAGCACCGAGGTGAAAAAAATAATGATAAAATCTTTTTGAAAACTAGGTAGAAAAAAACGCTCCAAGATTAGATCAAAAAGCCGAATTTTACGTTCGGTTTGAAGGTTTTGAAAAACCTCCTTTTTAAATTTTTTTCTGTATGTTTCATTGGCTACAAAAATCTATTAAAAAGGATATGTTTTATAAAAAAATTATTTTATGTGTTTTTCTACACACGTGTACGGAATATTTCAAATAACATAATGAATTATTAATTTCTCTATAAGGTCATTCGACAAAACTTGGAATTAGAATTTTATCGACTGAAAAGGCATTTTTACAACCCATAGTGAAAAAAATAACAGTAACAATAAACTTCACATCTCATCTCATTACAAAAAAAGTCTTTCGGGATGCAAGTCTATTCAAAATTGCTTTGGTAAACGGTTCGAATTGATATTTTGAAGCCTCGGGAAAATCTCAACCAATTTCAAGTCATTCGATTGCGAAAATACTGAAGAAAGTCGCTGAAAAATTGCTCCGAGGTGAAGAAAAAAAGCCGATTTTTATGCTCGGGTTGAAGGTTTCCTAGAACCTTCCTTAAAGTGAAAAAAATTCAAAAAATCCTTTTTCTGAAAAATCGAACTTACAAAATCGTAATCAGAGAAGTACTAAATATACAGCTTAATATAAGCTAGCTAAAAAGAAAAATGAAAATTCAGGAAAAAGCCTCGTTAAGCATAAATGTTCACTCAAAAAAAAGACTGTAACTATTAATTTGTAAGTAAAAAATAGGAGAAAATGGGGCCAGAAAATGTTTCCAACACTAAGTTTCAAAAGGGAAAAGCACAATTTTGCTCCTTTTTGAACTATAACGATAAAATAATTCGGAAGCTACCAAAGAAAAAGCTGAGGAGCCCATTGCATGTGGGAGAAAGAAAATGAACGGACCTGGAAAAAGAGCCTCGTTTCCTAGGAACAGCCACCGCATTTCACCCGTCTTCCATACGCTTCTCCGCCTCCGAAACCGATTTTTCAGTGAAGAATTTATGGACCTGAAAACTAAAAGTTGTCCGAAGAGAAAATAGAGATTCGAGCTTAAAAAAAGTTTGGTCTATAGGATTCATGGTTTGGTACGAAATAATTCTGGAAGTTTTTCTAGCAGAACATATTTTCTCAAAAACTCCCAAGACAATCTTATAGTTATAAACTCAAAGGAGAATGATTTTTCAATGAAAGTTAAAAAAATGAAAACTAAAAAAGTAGGTCATACCGGCCGTCGGCATAGAATCGCTTTCATAAATTATGCCGAAATTTTTTTTGGCAGAAATTTTCAAATTTGGGCGCTGCCAATTTCAGGCACTTTAAGATATGATTTGCTAATCAATAGACTAATGATTTGGATAGTTTTTAATTTTCCGAGGTTTTTCCCGTTATCTCGTGTTTGACAATTTTTCCAAATTTTTTTTTGGATGCCATTCAAGACGTTATTTGACATATTCGATACATATTTGGTGCTTTGAAAACAGTGGGATTGTCAGAAATTCTGAAAAATCTGCTTCTTCCTACGCCTTTGTACCGCTTGAGCGGCGTCGGCGCCCCAAGTCGATTAGCCGAGGTCCTATCCTGATCATTGATAATCAGTGGACTGGCTCCAATGAAATACCTTCCTCGTGTGTGACGGATGGGGATTATAATTGTCAGAAATTTCGATAAGTATGCCTTCTGCGAGTGGACCGCGCTTTTTCAAGCCAGAGTACAGTTCGAAACGAAGTTCCGGACCACTGTAAAATTCTTCCAAACTTTTCCGATAACCACACACTGTCGTGACATTCCAAAAATTGTTTAGCCAAGCATCCAAAAAATAAAAAGTGAAAAACCGTCACCACGACCCACCCTGATCGGCGCGCGTAAGGAGTAGTTTCTCGATATGAAGGATTCAAAAAAAGGTTTCAGCCTTGAAAATTTGGCGAGACCAGGGTGAGAAACTTTTAAACTCTTATCAACAATGTCGTAGATGTTGAGAAGCTTTTGAAATTCGGCAGCGCTCAAATTAGGAGCTATCAAGTTCTCTACTTACAGATTAGTGTTCTAAAATTTGACCGTTCGACTGGTTTGACCGTTCAGTTTTCGAACGGTTATAAAATGTCATTCTTCGGACCGTTCGTTTGACCGACCAGTTGCTGAGATTCACGAAACCTTTTTCGAAATGACATTTCGAACGGTCAAAAACTGACCGACCAATTTCAGAGTGACATTTCGAACGGTCAAAAAAAACATGTCACTTTGAAGTACCTTTGCAAAATCTTTGCGAATCAAACCGTTCGATCAATCGCCATTTATTATGACATGTTAAAAAATATTGGTCGAACGGTCAAGTATCGAAACTATAATACAGATCTCAGTGCCCCTGAAATTGGCAGCGCCCTAAAAGTTTTTTGGAAGCCTCTGACAAAAAAAGTTCAGCGGATACTGTTTTTCGGGCTGATGTCGAGTCGGTGATTATATCACCTTCCAACACAAGTTTGAAGGGCCAAGACTCGAAAAAAACAAAAAGCTCGTTTGCTATTCTTTTCAAGTGCGATCTAGAGAGCCTATCTAAAAATTTTGTAACAGTGTCTTTTTGAAACTCCTTTTTGAGTCTGTTCTGCTTGCTTTAATTTTTCCATCAAGGGCCTCAATTGTTTTAGTGTAGTTCCTATTGCCACTGGCGGGACGGCGGATCGGGAAAAATCGATGATATCAGGGCCGCAAGAATTTCTTGTTTGAGACGCTCCTCCTCTTCTTATGGGCGCGGGCGAGATCATTAAACGTTTTTTTCTCTTTCCCTTTTGTTTCTCTTCAATTTGTCAAAAATGATCAAGTTTTTCTAATAAAATGCTCTCCATTCAGAAATCAAGTTCGAAAGTTTGTTCATTCTTCCTCGACTCCAAAGCGTGCACCATTTTTCTATGTTTCCAGAAAGTTTTGTACCTTAATATGTTCTCAATTCAAGCTCAAAAATAAATTGTGGATTGGGTCCGCTTTGAAAAATCGAACGCTGGTTCCTCCCAAAACAATTCTTTTAAGTTTGATTTGTGATAAGGATATATTAATTAACAGGAAAATGGTGCATGAATGGTCAAGAAATCAAATTTTTCTCAAATTTTTGAACTGATTCAGAACTTTTTCTTTTTTCTGTTACATCATTTTCTATTATCCATTTTTCTGATTTTCCCCTTTGAACCTTCAGAAAATTTCCCAATTTTTCTCTTTTATTCTCCTCGGAAAGCTAAAATAACGTTTAGGTATTTTAAGCTGACTTTTTTCGATAGCGAAAAACGCAATTTATTGCCCGAGGTTTCAGAACTTTCCGTCTTATGTCAATGACCTTTCGGTCTTTGATTCTACTTTGTCACGACCTGTTAAGCAGTCCGCGTGGAGATCGCTTAGGCTCCCTTTCATTCTTGTTTAGAGCGGTGTCCTTTACACCGCTCCCAGGATAAAAAGAGGCTCAGCGAAGCCTTTTTCATGAACGCTGAAATCCGCGCTAAGGAGCTCCAGCAAACGCTCGCGGCGATCCGGCACGAAACGACGATGTTTTGCCAGGAGATCGCGCAACTCCACGCCTTGTTCGAAAGAAAGCACAGGCTTATCGAGACTAAGCCCTGGCCGACCACGCGAGCCCCGAACCTGCACTTTCAGCACATGTTGGGCAAGCACTAGAACCGCGTGGCAGGCGTGATCGATCGCATAGCCGCCACCACCGCCACCGCACAAATGCCCGTCTACGAAAGCGAAAGACACTACGAGAAACTACCACTCCTGGCATCGCGCGAAGAACTCCGAGCCATCAGGACACTACTGGAGGATGAACAAATAGACTGCAGCTTCACCCAGTCCTCACTGAGACTGCCTCACAACGACGCCTCTGTTTGAGACACCTCGACCATGTTTCCAAAATGTTCGAAACGCGGAGAAATACCCAGTCTGGAAAGCGCTCCAAGAGGCCGGGCAGCGTCTCTACAGCCAGGAGAATACGACCAAAGTCAACTTCGCTGAGATACGGCGCACGCTGGCCGAACTTCTCTCCCTCCAAACACACGCCATGTAGCAGAATGACGCGATGACCAGACAATTTTGTGTACACCACGCTTTTGTACGTGAAAACTTTCGTCAACATTATTGCGATTTTTAATTAATTATTTAATTGGTATCATCCTATTAACTTGAAGGGCGTTCCTGACAATCTTCCTTCACTACTAGCGTAAATTTTGATTCTTCTCCAGGTTAAGCAGTATAAATTTACCATTTGTGCCTTTTGCGCCGGCAACCACTACTCTGACGGTTGCCACCGGATAACCAAGCCATCCGAGAGGCTGGAAACGTCCCACGACAGCCGCAAGTGCGTCAAATGCCTGATGCGCGAAGACGCACATCACAACTGCCGGGCTCACAAACGCTGCAGATACTGCAATGAAGACACACACCATCCGTCGCTGTGCCGAATCCCGCTAGTCCACTACGAATACCAGAAAGTAACTTTGAAACTTCTTCCTCCCGTCGTCGCTCTGTCCTCACTCACAATAAAAGAATTTTAGATTACGCAAATCAAGGTAACGAGACCATACAACGTCTACGGGCACCACCAGCACGCCAAGCCCAACAAACAACACAGTCGAAAAAAAAACTCGACTAGCACATGCCCCGAATGCGAAACCGAAGAAGACCATCATGACAACGACGCCAACCATTTTCGCGTCACAAGTAACCGCAATACAAGCCGTCCAGGCTCTAGAAAAACTCGATTACCAGCGGTCAGGGGAAAGGCTTTTACCCCTGGCTAAAACTGTTTGCCGACACCATGAAGCATCCCGAATACAACCGGAACACGCATTCTTTCCCTTTTCCTCCAAGGAGGTGCTCGAGTTCGCTACGAAGTAATCCCGCAAGCCAGCCAATTGAGCTGGACGGACATCACTGACGAACTCACCAAAGCATTCAAAAGCTCCATCGAAATCGTGAACGCCCAAGGCGAACTTTGCGAGATGAAACACAAGGCTCACTGAGCATCGGTGAATTCGCAAACAGAGTCAAGGACAAAGTCGATTTCAGCATCTCAGGACAGAGAGAAAATCGCTCTGGACACCTTCCAACGTGGCCTAGGCGAGTAGGAACATAAGAAAATGAGAAAAGTATTATTGTTATTATCTGGGTACACGAAGAAATATGGCATTTCCAAAATTAAGATTAAGAACTCGACAGTTACACTTACAATCAGAAATTTTCCTCAGTTATAATTTGAAAGAAAAAAATCAGAATCGGATTGGATGTTCCAGAACAGTCTCGTAAACTCTAGTTTAAATTTTGCAGCAGAAGAGAGTTCCCTTCAAACCAAAGAAAAGTAATAAGGTAAGGTGAAACCTCATGAATCTCAGGTATGAGGCAATAATTGATCACCTGTCATATTCATTAAACAATGAAAAAGTTAAAAAAGAGAAACAAAAGGTTTTTCGAAACCTTCAAACCGATCACAGAAGTCGGCTTCTTTTCAAATATTTTTTAAACTTTTTGAACCCTCGAAGGATTTTTCCAGTAGATTTTTTATATTTTTTTGATCCTTTCTCCAAGATCTAGTCATTAAAAATAACTGGTTTAATTCGACTCGAAAAATCAATCTTGGAGACATTTACGATGACATGTTTCAAAATTATCAATTTTTGATTCTACTTTTGGAAAAATATCGAAAGAAAAATAAAATAAGTTGTAAAATACACAAAAGAGAAAACGCAAACTATTGATGTCGCAAAAATATCCTAGTTTATCTCATTTTCAACAAACTACCTGAACAAGTTAAAGAGGAAAAATGCTAAATTATATTATTAACTGTAGGAAAATACATTACGGTAAATTCATACTACTTAACCTGGAGAAGAATCAAAAAGTTACGCTAGTAGTGAAGGAAGATTGTCAGGAACGCCCGTCAAATTAATAAGATGATATTAATACATTAATTAACTAAAAAAATCGCAAAAATTTTTGACGAAAGTTTTCTAATTTTTCTTTTTACTGCCATTAGTTTAAAAATGATGTGGCCTATAAACGGGGCCTATGTACTCAGCCAACCCTAGTTGCTGCCCAAAAACTCGATTTTTTTGACCCAAACTTTGAAAAAAAGACCGAAAAAAACTGAGCATAAATCTCGATTCTGTGAAAAAGAAAAAAACAGACTCTAGTTTAAAAACTGACTTTCGACTTTGAAAATTAAAAAAATTTCTAGTTTGAAGGTATTTTTTTCATATTTTTTTGGGAGGAGAACTTTTGATTTAACGATACTTTTTTTAAAAAGTTCCGAAAAAAATCTGAACAAAAAGTTTCTGGGCTTTCAAAAAGTGAATTTTTTTGGCCTCCCCTTCAAGAAATTTGACGAAAATCAATGATTCTCAAAGTTTCTATCAAAAATTTTTGGATAAAAAACCCTACGTTTCACTATTCCAATCTCCAGGGGACCAGGCAGTTTGAAATAGAGCAGCGCGAGTGTGCGTGATCGACAGTCAGAGGGTCACGAGTTCGATCCTCCCTGGAATTTTGCCATTTTTAAACACTGGAAAGGACAAATAAAGCCGAAAAATATGCTCGGCTCGAGTATTTCGATTCATTTTCTTTATTTGAAGGTCGGAAAAAAGTTCCAAGGTACCAATTTGCACGGTGTGAACAACTTATACTTTTTCATGTAGGGATTTGTCGAAAATTCGGGGTTTGGAGACATTTTAATCAACTTTAAGGACTGAATTTGAGAAGCGTGGATTTTTGAAAACTTGTTTTGGAAATTATTAAATTTATTGTATCAGACTTAGACTCCCGTGCATGTAAATTTTTTGCCAAGTCATTTGTTTCAATTTTTTGAATATTTATGTGGTTTTATAACAGCTTTTAACAAAGAACCTTGTTCGGATGATTTCTAGGGCGAAACTTGTTTCTATCCATTTTAATTTTGAACCTTACTCGGCATAGAGTCTTTACTTCGTGTAGCTAAGAAATTAGGAAACCGCAGAACAATGAATTTTGAGTTCTTTTTATTTCTCTGAAGCCAGTAGCCTGCGCGAGGATTAAAGGAAATTATTAATTTTGTCATATTTTGTTTTTTTCAAAGAATTATTTGTATTTCTGGCTTGCAAAACCATCAAATAATCAAAAAATAAATTTGGTTCCTTGTGCAAATTTCTCAGCCATTTTTGTCGAAAACGACATGGAAATGTTGAAAAGTTGCTCCAAGGCTAATAAGAAAAAACCGAGGGATATGCTCGGGTTGAGAGATCGAGAACCTCTCATTTGAGTTTATTTTGTGTAAAAATTATGTTTTGGTTTTTACTTTTTTTTTGTCATCTTCTGCATTATTCAGCGGGATTTTTACATAATTTCAAATAAAAGATGATTGAAGCGAAAAAAAGTTGAAATTAAAGCGAAAAATGTGTTGAAAAACTGCAGAAACTGATAATAAGAGATGATTTTTTTCAAAATCATCAAGACTAAAAAAATTTTTTTGCATATTGAAAAAAATGTAATTCAACAAATAAAAAGTCAAATTTTTCTTCTGCCTCAACACTTTCCGTACAAAGAACAACAGGAAAATTTCAAAAAGCCGAAAAATGTGCTCAGCTCGTTATTTTTTTCCTTCATTTTGATCTCTTTTTCCAAATTTTTTTGAGTACTAAAAATATATTAACCATTTCTTCTGTCTGCATCAGGTGTGTGTGCATTTTTTTCACTATGACTATTAAAAAAAAAAATCAAAGGTAGAAAGGACGTCGTGCTGTGAGAGAGGTATCCTGCTGGGGGAAAATTATCTGAAAATTTTTGTCAAGAAAAAAAATTTCAAAGCGGTGATCGCTAGAGAGACAATCGTCAACCTTCGCATATTTTTCAATTTTTCAAATTTCGAGATTCTAAGCTGTTTTTCTCAAAAAGGATGTGTGAATTAGTTGAAAAAATCTATTTGCGTGAATTTTCCTAGCCTTCTGAGGACCGTTGGATAATTAATATTAATGTGAAAAACCCTCTAATTCAAATTGCAAATAGGTCGAAACACCCGTCTCCCATAGAATGGGGGAGAAAAAGCATTTTTTAAGAACTGAACGTATTTTTTAACTTTTCATTCCAACTGATTTTCAGGAACAAATATGAATTTTATAAGGTAAAATTTAAATTAAGATGGTTTTTTTCAGACGCATGCTTCCTTCGAGTGTTTGTTGCTTGATCAAAAATAATCCTTTATCGATAATCGACTTAACTATATTAACGCCAAGTTTTTATAAAAATCTAGGACTTAATAATCAGTAAAAATAAGGCCACAAAAATAATTTCAAATTTGCTCTAAACGCGCAATGCGTTTTCTCCTTGTTCTCAACTACTTTTGATGACTTTTTGAATAAAAATCCATAGGATAATTTTGAAAATTTTGACATTGTGATAAGCCTCTGCGTTGTCGGATCTCATGATTATTTTAAAACTTAGAAAAATTCTCAATATTTTTGCGTTCTGCAAGAAATTCAATAAGATGGTCAAAAAATGGTGAGCTTGACTTCCTCGCGGCATAATAATAGTGTCATTAATCGGCGATTTGATCAGAAATTGAAAATTTTGATAGTTCAAAACGACCAAAATAACGTAAGAAGTGGTTTGAAACCTCGTGCGACACTGCTTTCTGTCCATTTTCTCTCGAAAAATCACGAAAACGGCTGAAAAGTCGCTCCAAGGCAAATGATAAAAACCGATAACTATGATCGGGTTGAAAGGCAAAAAACCTCTCATTTTTTCCTAAAAAAGCTATTTTTTCACTCAAAAACGCTACATAAAAGTCTTAGTTTCGTGAATTTTCAAATATCAATTTCTAGCTCCTCCTCTCGGGTTTACAGCGTTCCGAACAAATTTCAAAACTTATGAGATTGAAAACAATAACCTCTAAAAAAATCATTATTCGAAAAAAATCTAGGCTTTTACTCGAATCAATAGATTAGCGATTATTGAAATAAGATTTATCACTCTCATTTTTTTCCTTCGATAACCAATTTTTCACTTGATTACGCTACATAAAAACCTTTTATTTTTGCGATTTTTTTAATTTTTAACCTTCAGCAAATTGACCCTGTCATCACACCAACTAGATAAAAATATTAAAAAAAATGAGATTAAGTTCTAAAAAGATTGTCTTTTTCGCTTCAAAATACTACTATTTTTTTAGTGGAATTCATAGAATATATCTGAGATTATATTCTTAGTATCATAGAATTTTTTTGGTAGGTATAAAATATTTTACGATATTTTTGTTCATTTCGATAAAAATTACCAAACCAAAAAGTTCCCTATTTCCTCGGTAACCTTGCCAAAAATCATGCTTTGAACTGAGCTCAAAATGATAGAAATTAGTTACAGGGATTTTAAAAAAAGGCGAAAAATTCGTAGTAGTTGTTTTCTTGGGAAATTTTCCAACCAACTTTTGCTGAAATTTGCTCCAAGTTTCAAAA